AATGAAATTGGAGGCAATGAAAACTCCTCCTAAGTGATGACAATTGAAAAAAACAAATATTTTCTTTGAGCCTCAGCCAGGGTTGCAAAAGTAACTTGCTTGCTTATCTCCGGTGACTCAAACCCGCCTCCAGGTGACCAGGCACAACCCCTTGGGATGAATCCGAGGGCAGGATTCCTACTCTTCCTTTTTTTGATGTTGACTCCTTATTCCAATCAGTCGGATACGAGGAGGTTTGCTCACCCTTCTGCCTTACGTATCTTGCATCTCTGAGCTGGACCCCCCTGGACATCTGAGGGGGATTTGCCTGCCGGACCCCTCCCCAAATGACTGCTGTCGCCATTCGTCGTGCAGGTGGTCTTTCGGGAGGCAGGGGAGCCTGGGCTGTGTCTGCACGGCCTTCTTGACTGTGAAAAGATGGAGCTGCCCTGTCCAAGAAAAATTCCAGCTGGGATTTTTTTTTCCTGCTCCTCCTGCTGCTCCTGCTGCTTCTCCGCCCTCCTGCTGCTCCTTCTCCAGGCTGCATCCTGGTTCTACTTCCTCCTCCTCCTCCAAGACGGGGCAGATTGTTTTCACTCCCCAAATTAAACTGCAGTTTTTGCCTAAAAATAAAGCAGAAGCGTGGGTCTTGCGGTGGCAGCTGAGATCCTGCCGCCAACCTTGCGCAAGGCTGACCCGGAGGCCCTGCAGCGCACTTCGCACTTCTCCGCGTTGCCCGTGATCGGGGTTGGGGCCCTGCCGAGTGTGCTGGAGTTCGGAGTGGGAGGTGCTGAGCGTTGCCCCCTTCCCTTCTCTGCACAACAGCAGGGACAGACACTGTTGCTGGGGGGGAAAGCAGGGGGGGTGGGTGTTGGGCGTGGTTGATTTCACCCTACACCTGCCACGGTGGCTCTTTCCAGACTCCGAACCCCGGAAAGAGACCCAAAGATTGGTAGGCTAACCTAGGAACTTCTGCCCAGGTTGCTGAAGGACTTCATCCTGAATATCTGAATTTCGTTGTGCAGCTTCCTTTGAAACTTTTCTGAGGGTAACGTGGGCATTAGCTCTGGAGCAGATTCTGGCCCTGCAATGCAGAGGGAGAGACCCCCATTCCCTGGCCTTTGGGGGAGGCTGGCAGTGCAAGGGGCCAAGCCCTCCCCAGGCAGGAAGGGCTATCACTGGCCTGGCTTGGGAGCCGCTTTCCCTTTGCATAAGTGAAGGCGGTGAGAGCCTCCCCCACCCAGAATCTGCTATGGGTCGCTCCTGTTTTGTTTTCCGTCTGGCTTCTATCGGCCTGCGCATAATTACCTTCTTGGAAGGGGAACCCTGGCTGGGGAGATGTGATAAATGGTGCTGGCGTTCCTGCAGCCGCCTGCATGGCTGATTGGAAGGTGCACTTCCTGGTGCCCAACGGACAGAGGACGAGTGAGGAAGACCAGCAGGGAGGCGGCTTGGCCGTGGCGGGTGCAGAAATTAGAGCTGAGGCTGCAATTGCTGAGATGGATCCGGCCTGCCAGGCACCTAACATTGCAGGGGGTGGGGGAGTTGGAGCTTGCAGGGGTGAAGAAATGCAAGCCAGCTGCCAGTTCTACCTGTTGCCCTTCTCAGCCTGCTGCCCAGTCATTTCCTTGGCACATTTTCACCCGTGAAGCAGCATTTTGTTTGCTCTGCAGCCGGCAAAGGATTGATGACTTTTCCCAAATCCCCAAGCGCTTCTCAGCCACCTTCCTGTTTCTTCCCTCTCATCGAAAAGATCCTGCACTTACCTTTGCAGAGAGCCTTGGCCAAACAAAGGCAGGCAGGCATCTGGATACCTGAAAAAGTGCAGCTCCTGAGAGAGCTGCGTCTTCCTTCCTGCACTCCGTCTGCTTGCCTAAAATGGCCTGGATTGTGTGGCACAGGTGCACGGGGTTTGCCCCGCAAGGTGGAGTAAAATGTGGTTGGCTAGTTTGGGGTGCCGTGTTGGTATGAACAGAGCAGTTGCTGATCCCAAAGGCCAGGACGATGCGCCTAACTTTTAATGGTGAGCCACAGCAAACAGTGTTTCTCTCTTCACCTCCTAGACTACCGTTATATAGCTCACCTTTAAAGTGTGCATGCAATTAAACGAGTGTTTCTCAAACTTGGCAACGTTAAGATGTGTGGACTTCAACTCCCAGAATTCCCCAGCCAGCAAACATCGAATTAAACCAGGGTTATCATACTGGGCTTTGCTTTGGAGGTGGAAAGAGAGAAAAAACCAAAACCTGTGCCTTGTAGTGACCACCGATAAGTTAGATTACAACATCAAAAGAGAGTTTTCCTATCTGATGGTAAAAAGAATGAGAGCCCATATTTGGGGAACATGTTCTTATTATCCAAGGTGGGTTGGGGATATTTTCGTTCACCAAATATTCAGGGAAGGGCTTGTTTGAAAGCAGAATGACTAAGAAAGGAGGCATGTCCAGCTGTTTGTTCCTCTCCCCGCCTTATCTCTTAAATTTGGCTAAGTTCTGGAGGTTTTGGGGAGGCCAGGAGGCTGGCAGGATTGGTCTGGAAGCGGATTGTTTTTAGACTCCCTGTTGGAAGTTTGCAAAAGTCCTTTCTCACCCTTGAGACACAGACTTTTGAAACCCAGCTCAGCACCTCCAACCTCCTTTCTCGGCTTGGCTTTAAGCATCAAACTGACCTCTGGGTTAGGCAAACCTGGATAGTCTGCTTGGTTTCTCCCCACCCCCCCTTAGAAAAAAACCACTCCCCCTTCTTGACAAGGGAGCAGAGCCCGTGAACGTTTGTGCTTTGGTGCCTGGGTCTTGTGCAGTCTTCAGTGGGGGGTGGGATTCTGCAGTGGTCTCCTCCGCCAAAGCAGGAAAGTCGGCCTCGGTCAGCAGGGACCCGGCCCAGTTCCCCTTACAGCTTCTGGTTCTCCTTTCAGGGGGCTACTGTAGGGGAAATTGGCCAGGCCGGATCCCACCACTTGCTGATCATGGCAGGGAGCCCCTTGGAACTGAGAACTGGGGGAGGGGGGCTCTGTAAGGTTGGGGGTCTGGGGAGGTGGAGTTGGGCATTATAGGGGTCCTGCTGAAAGAGAAGCAGATCACAGCGTCTTGACCAGCCGAAGATGAGGCCAATGGCCGAGCGGGACGTGCCTTTTCCCCATGGCTGGCAGGTTGGTTTCATCTGCCCTGCTTTGCAAAGCGATCCTGCCTTGGGCTCTTCTCCGCTTTCACCTCTGCTGTGGATTTCTAAATTAAGGTTACTGTTGAGGGCCAGAAATTCACAGCCGCGTAGCCACTGCAACATGAACCGCCACACATTAATATCCCTGGCTGAGCTGCGCTGCTGTTTTTGTTCCCCTTGCATTGATTCTCTTGCCACAGAGATTAAGGAGAGGACGTCATTCCTCCCCTCGATAGATTATTATGGGGAGGAGGGCCTGTTACCAGAGGAAAACCGGATGAGGAGGGAAGAGGATGAGGAGCAGAGCAGCTCAGGGAGCTATTCCTGAAGTTGCAAAAAAGCCCTGCCACGTTTTGCAAACGCCTGGAACTGCTACCTCGGGAGCCAAGGACAAGCTGCTTTGATGCCTTGTTTGTGGGCATCCAGATCAGACCTAACATCCCACATCTTCTGCTGCTGGGGATTATGGAAACTGGAGTCCAAATGATCTGGAGGACACTATGTTCAATCAGACCTGCTCCGTTGCTTCCAGTCCAGGATCCGTTCTTTTAACTCTTAAAGCAAGGTTGTCCAACCGTGGCAGCTTTCAAGACCTGTGGACTTCAAACTTCAACCTACTGGCTGGATAGTTCTGGGAGCTGAAGTCCAAGGGTCTTCAAGTGGCCGTGGCTGGGCACCCCAGCCTTAGAGCAAGGCATCCTCTCCGTTCTCCTCCAGATTCTCTGGATAGCTGAGCTGCAGCTGTTTTGTGCAACTCAGGGAAATGACAGCTTGTTTGGCTGGCTAGGCACCCCTTCCCCCCACCCCACCCCCGCTGCAAGGTTTCTGCCTGCGGGGAGAGATGGAAAAACATAAGCAGGAGAACCTGGAAAACCCCAAGGAAGAAATGGTTCTGCTGCAAGTTTCCTTCTCTCTTTTGTTCCTTGGGGTTCAAGCCAGGGCTTCGTTCAGCTGCTGCACTTCTTTTGTTCGCCAGATGTGGGGTGAGGGGTTGGCCGCTGGTACATGGAGAAGAGGACATCACGGGAAGGTGACGCAAAGCTCCAGCTTTCAAAGAACAGACCACAAGGAACACGCAAAGCAGCATTGTCCAAACTTGGCCATTTTCAGATGGAATTTAGCTCCCAGATTTCCCCTGGCAGCCTGTGGTAGCTGTGGAATATTCCCTTTCTTGAGCTTGGTGTCCCCCTCCTCATTTCCTCCAACCTTTAGACTCCCCCCCCCTCCCCCCAATAATCTCTGGCTGCAACCAAAGCGGAAGGATGAAGGCAACCTCTCTCTTGCTGCACTCGCCTCGACTTACGACTGTAATTGAGCCCGGAATTTGGGTCATAAGTCACAGCAATCATTAAGCAGGTCAACGTGGGACCCTGTCCGATTTTATGAACTTTTTGTTTGCGGTGGTCATTAAGTGAACCCTGCAGTTGTTAAGTGAACTCATTTTTCCCAAATAGATGGTTTTTTGTAGACACCAGAAACCAGCAAAAAATGCTAAGTATCACAATGTTGCAACCATGGGATGCTCCGAATAGTTATAAATGTGAGCCAGTTGCCAAACATCCAAAATGTGATTATGTGATCGCAGGGGGTGGCTGTTAGAACTTGTGAAAAGTCCATCGTAATTCAAACGGTCACTAAGTGAGTAGCTCACCAGGATAAGTAGCTGGGCCTCACCGCTTGCCTCGAGGACCTTTCCTCTTTAAGCCAGGATTCCGGTTTGCCTCCCGAGACCACCTGGTCCTGTCCGTTTATTTCCAAGACCCCCTTAAGGGAGGGAAACCCAGATCCCCGAGAAATCCTGGGCGACCCCTGTGATCTGTGTGCTGATTGCATTTCCCTCTTTTGCATTTTCCCACAGCCTGCCTCTTCCGATTCAACGGCCTCTCGCTGGTCTACCTTCTCTACCTCCTGCTCCTGCCGTGGTTCCTGGGCCCCACGGAAGACACCATCCAAGGTAGGGGAACCGCATTCTCCCAGTTGCTCCCTTCAGGGCACAAACCAGGATGCCTTCCTGCCCGTCACTGGAATAATTCTGCGAATGAAGCCCGTTTCCTTCCCTCTTTCCCCGCTCCTCGTGTTTGCATTCTGGCCCTGTGGTTCAGAAGAGGGCTGGCCCAATGCGCATGTTCTGGGTTAACGTTGTGGGGTTTTTTTTTGGGAAACGGTGGGGATTCAGTGATTTCCTTTGCTGTGGATACCGTGAGCCCTCCTGGTTGTGCTTCTAGTCCGGCCTGTCTCGACGGGCTAACAAGCCACCCAGCCAAGGAGGACTGTGCACCCCAGAAGGAGCTGCGCACATCTGTTTCCCTCCAGGCATCTTGGACAAAGCCCAGGCAAGTCGCCCGGATGGAGGAAGAAGCCGCTGGACTCCCCCTCTGCCCTTCCTCAGCCAGAGCAGAGAACAAGCCCCCCCCCGCCTCCCTTCCTCCCTCATCTCCCCCTTGGAGTCGGTTTCCTTCCGCTTGCTCACCCCAGGGGTCTGCAGGCGACATCCCCTCGGCCGGGCACGGTGGCCACTCCCTGGCTGGGCTCTGGCAAAGGGCCACGCCACCCCCAGTCTCCAGAGGGAGTTGGAACGAAGCCTTCCTGTTTGGGAAGCCAGAATTCTCTGGGCTCTGCCCGGCCCAGGCAGGCTTGTATTATGGGCTGGAGCCGTTTGCTGACCGTGGCCCTATGGGAGTGGCCACACCTGCTTGACCAACGGCAAGCAAGGAGAAGATCCTTTGCTTCATCCTCATCCTCATCCTCTGCTCATCGTTAGGGGGACATTCGCCTTTTACTTCAGGAGCCCAGAGGGGCTTCCCTTATTTCAGCCTCGCAACCATCGAGGGAGGGGTCTTCTCCACCAGGTTTTCTCTCTTCTGGACTGGCTCATTTTTAGCCCCCTGCAAAAGGGAAGAGGAAAGCCGGGGGGGGGGGAATATTTGAAGAGCAAAGGCAGACCTGGTTGGTGGAGGCCCCGAAAGTCTCAGGGGTGGTCCAGGCTGCAGAGAGAGAGCCCCCCCCCCGTCTTTATCTGGAGAACGGCCCTTCTCAACCCTTTCCCTCCCTCTTCACCCCAAGGGTCCACTTTGCCAAAACAACAACTTGAGGGTTTCTGAAGATCATCATCGCTGCCCAAATGCTCCGGACATAAATAGAATTACAGACATTGCTTGGCACCCGTTCAGGCAGCATTGCTTCATTATAGCAGAGGTTTGTTTCCCCCCACCCCCTCAGGAGATAGAAACCCAGACTCTTCCTCCTTGCCCCTTTTCTCCACGGATCTTTCTGCTCTTTTGAGGGCGCCTCCACTTGAGTCTTGGAGCGTTTTCCCCACCGGGCTTTTCAGAAGCCCCTTTCGGGAGAGCAGGCGAGGCCGGCGTGCATTCCCATGGGCTGGCAGATCCTGCAGGCCGTTGTATCCCCGGGGCGCCTTGCTTGCAAAGTGGCGAGTGGGGAGCCCTCGCAGGGTGCAGCCAGCTCTTGTCTTCCAGCTCTTGTTCAATCAACCGTCCTCCTGGAAGGGAAAACAGGCCTCTTGAGCAAATATTTGTCTTCCACGGGGCTGGCAGGCAAGATTGATGGGGATCTGCTGGAGGAGGGTTGGGGCAAACAACCCCAGCAAGTTTCCATCCAAGGGAAAGGTTGCCGCAAACTCTTCCGTAGATTGTTGGGGTTTTAGTTCAGCCGGGTTCTTGGTTCCCTTCCAGCTCATTCCAATGTCCCACAACGTCCAAAAGCCCCAGTTGTGTAACTTTATGGCCTTCCGGCCAGCCGTGTGATATATTCAAAACGGGTGTCTCTGCACTTAAAAAAAGACATTTTAGGGCCCCTTAAAATCCGCCTGAGATAATCCGAGTTCTGGGACATGAAGCATTTGGCCATCCAGGAGATTAGCTCATGTTGTTTCTTCTGACTCCCGTTTCAGCTATTCAAGGCAAGTGTCGTTTTTGTGCCCACACTTTTAAAGCTCTTTCCCATCTTAGCTTTTTTTAAAAACAGCATGTAAAATAATCTCTCCACCTAAGATTACAAAAGAAAAAAGAAAAAAAGAGAACCCTGTTCAAAGTATTTGTGCTTTAAATGCTTACACTTTCCTGTTGGGTTACTTTTTAAAGTATCCATTTAGGTAAATTAAGGCAAAAATACTTTTAGAAGAGGCACAGGCCAGGCTAAGCGTGGATTCTCCGGCGGTGCCTGAGGATGAAATCAGGTGGGCTTAGAGTGGGCCGGCAGACGGAACCACAACGGAACACAAATCATGTCTGGTGCCCTTTTGGGAAGCCAAAGGTCACAAACCCAGCGACGCCCTGGTCCCATCCTTTCCTTCCCGGATTGCTGGAAAAGCTGGCTTGGGAAGCCTGTGAAATTCCATCCTTGTCAAGCCCCTTTACAAGGGGTCCTCGACTTATGACCACGATTGAGCCCAACATTTATGTTGCTAAGCGAGACGTGTGTTAACTGAGTTTTGCCCCCTTTTACGACCTTTGTATGATTCTCTGTCCTTGTTAAGTTAGCAATATGGTTGTTAAGTGAACCTGGCTTCCCCCATGGACTTTGTCAGAAGGTTGCAAAAGGGTGAATCCATAACCCCAGGACTCTGCAACCGTCATAAGTATGAGTCAGTTGCCAAGCATCCGAATTTTGATCACACGGCCACGGGGAAGCCGCAATGGTTGTAAGTGTGGGGGGAAAAAACATAAGTCGTTTTTTTCAGTGCTGCTATAACTTCGAAAAACGAAGAGTTTTAAGTTGAAAAGGACCTCTCTAGCCTTTGCTTTGCTTCTTCCCCCCCCCCCCCCCCCCCCCCCCCCCCCGCAAATATATCTAGGACCGTGGAGGGGGCCAGAATGAAGGGTCCTTCCTTGTTTTCTCTCCTGCCTTGACCTTCCCAGCTGCCTCCTCTGAGGTGGGGAGGGGAGTTTTTGGTTTAACTGATAAATCCGCTTGATCTTCCCCGCTTCCCTGGCTGCCTGCTGTGAGGTGGCCTAGCCCAGCCAAGGAGGAATAATTAATCCAAATAATGAACCTGAACGGCTGGGTAGGTGATTGTCAGCTGAATAGCTGGAAGGAAAGAGCGGGGGAGGGAGGGGCGGGGAGGGGCTGGGGGAAACTTGGCCTTTCTTTGCAACCCAGAAGAGGAAATAACAAATCGCTTAGAAGGAATTACGGGGAGAAGGGAAATTAAGATCCAGCCTAGGTGCACACACCCCCATTTGGGGATTGGTCCGTATAAGTCAGCATTACCCACTCTGACTGGCAGCCTCTTCCAGGGTTTGAACCAAATTAAATGCCGATGCCAGAAACTCAACCTGCCCAACCAGTAAAGTAGGGTTTGTCCTCAGGAAAATGCCATGAAAAACAAAGATTTCTCTTATCAAGTTACTGCCTTTTTTTAAAAAAACGGCCCCATGATGCTCACCAAACGGCATTGCTCAGAGTTGAGTCAGACACCGACAAGGACAGGAGAGAGTTACAGACTTCCATTGTCCATCAGACACAACTCCGATTAAGTGTGGGCTGTTGGGTGGCATTGCTGCCCCAGCCACAGAACAGGCAGCGGTGACCTCGCCCCGCGGGCGGATTAACAGAAGGACGTAACTCGGAGAAGAATCCCTGTATTGGAGCTTTCCCGAAAAGAGTAGAATCAGGCCTCCTTGTAACTCTTCATGGAGGGGTTTCAAGTTGGAGCTTGTCTTCTACTCCTGCGGGTTAAGCCACGTTGGCATCCGCTTCTGCCCATTGAAGGCAATGTGATTAGAAAGCTGGCGCTGGTTCAGAAGTTTTGTTTCATTTGTGTGTGCCTTGCTCACACTCCTTCACAACGGCTTTGATTCCTGGGAACTGTCTAGACAAGTCGCTGCGTTGTTCTGAGTGACAGGTTCGGAAGTGCCTTGTCTTCTTCCTGGGCTGACACACAATGACCTAGCTGGCTTTGAGCCCAAGGCAGGACTGGAACTCGGGGCTTCCTGGTTTCTAGCTGGGAGACCTTGAATGGTGGCTCTGAGCCACCACTCAGCATGCCATCAATTTTAAAGGTGTCTGGGGTTCTGGTTTTGCTGATGCCAGTTCTATCCGCATGTCTACCGCGAAATAAATCATACTCTTCAATGAGACTTATTCTCAGTCGAGTACAGGTGTAGTATTGGGGTAATGGCAGAGGTGCACGGCAACTGCACAGTTGTGTGGTCTGTAAATGTCATTGTTGAATTATGTAAATGAAGGAATAATTTAGCAATTATATATTCCACAACTAACCCACACAACTTGCTTCTCTAAGCACGTGGTACTGAAGATGTCACCTAGCTTTGCTGGCTGGGGAATTCTGGGAGTTGAAGTCCATCAGGCTTAAAGTTGCCAAGGTTGGAGCCCCCTGACCTGGACTGTAGCAAACAGAAAAACCAGAGAACCCCAATGACCCATCCTCCAAGCCTGAGTGACAGAGTCTCTCCCATTGCTAGCAACCCATTCCTCAGGTTTCCAGCCATACCAGTTAAGTGCAAAGCTGAGTAAGGACTGCCTGTCGCAGAGCAATAGTTAGGAGGCTCAGCTATTGCTAAGTAGTGTATAACCCCAACATTTTCCCCAAACTAGTTGCAATTTGCATGTGGGTCTTGAATATCGTTGGTCTTTGGCTCTTGTGAGCCGCCCCAAGCATGGCCAGGAGTTAGGATGATGGAGAACAGAGATCCTCACAGCTGGAGGTTCTTATGCCTTGCTACTCTGTGGACAGGAGCCAGTTTAGGAAATCTGGGGGCGAGGGGCTGAGGACGTTCACAGCTGTGGTGAAGAAGGTTGCTTTTTGGCCAAGCTGGTCCAGGTCAGGACTCACCTCTTAGGTGACTTTAACCAAGCTTCTTTTAACTCCTCTTAAGCTCAGCTACATCTGGAGCAGGGGCATCATGATTGTCAGCTGTGCTGGTAAGACCCACATACCGTAGCCAAAGGTGAATGGCTGAAAGGCACAACCTAAGGCTCCCATTTGGCCTTTGCAGGTCACACTGGACGCCTCCTCCGAGCTGTCTTAGGAACCAGCATCCTTTTCCTTCTCGCTCATTTGGTCTTCCAAATATGCCTTTACACTGTGCCCGACTTGGACCAGCTCCTCGGAAGCAACTGTGAGTACCATGTTGCTTTTCTGTTGGGCAGAATCTGGATTCAGAGAGAAATGACAAGCAGAGCAAAAGACAGTCTAGCAAGAAGGTAGACTAATGCAATGGGAATTCAGTGCCCGACAGAATATTGAGCGGTGGAAAGGTCAGGGGGCAGGAGAGGGGATGTTTAACTCTTCCCATGCGTTGGTTTTCTTCCACTCCATACTTTTTTTCTTGCCACCTCCTTTTGTTCTCCCAATGGCTGTTTCCAGCCACTCGCCAAAAGACAAGGATGTTTTGTTCTCCTGCAGTGTTTAATCCTGTAACGCAGAGCTTGGAAAGCTGGAGTGTGAGCCCAGGTGTGGCTGGGACCTGGTCCTGTTTGCTCCCCTGGAGATCTCGTCTTACCTTGGGATCCGCTGCGGAGGGCAGCCTCCTTTTTCACTTCACATGCTAGTATTTGAACTGCCCCTCCCCCCCTCCCCCCAAAAAAACAACAACCTGGAAATATTGCTGTGGTTTCCTCCTGAAATTCCCCGTCCAGGTAGAAAATTCCTTCTGAAGTTTGTCATTACTATTCTTCAGAAATGGGGCTTCCTTGTTCCAGCTAAACAAGCCCCATTAAGTTTGAAGCATACTTCAATATTCAAAATATTCCCAAAACATAAATTTGGTTACTTAGTGATGAGAAATGTTATGTTATGATTTTCCCCTCTTGCTTCCCCTGCAACTTTCCATACATGGAACAAATTCCTTTATCTGCAGGGAATCTATATAAACTGTCCCCCCCCCCTTTGAGAGTGGGGCTGAACCCATGGCTCCACATGACCATGTTTGGAAGTGGGCTGGTGGTTTACTTGCTCTGGGTCCATTCATGGCCACGCCAACGTAGCAGAAGCAACCGGTTCAGCAGCCACTGGTGGGCCTTCTTCCTAGATGTTACTGGGGGTGGCGACAATTCAATTTAATTTACTTCAGACCTTCGTAAGTTGCTCCACTTGGTTTCGATGGGTGCAGAATCCCACCAGCCAGAGCCAGAGGTCCTAGTGGGGTGGGAGAAATGTACGGTGGTGACTCCAGAGGTCAGACAGTGGCCCTCAATTAGATACCTGTGGAAGAAGCTACACCTGACCTACCGTAATAACAGAGGTGCATTTTAAGTTAAAGAGCCAAAATGAGAATATAATCAAACTTTATTATTAACTGATTAAAAATGTGTGTGTGTGTGGGGGGGGGAAACAGCTCTACCAATAGATTTGGAACATCTGAGATAGCTTTCAGTCAATCTAGAACTCTATGGGCTGCTCTGGGAAAAAATAGTTGCAGGGAGCTTTCGATCCCCAGAAAAGAAGGGAGCGTTTATCTCAAACCTTCAGCTCTCTCTCTCTCTCTCTTGGCTGTGGAAGCGGCCCAAGGTTGGATCCAATTCATTTTGCCTAAGGATGGGAGAAACCGGATCCTCCGTGGATTCATTTGCTGCCAATTGAATGTGCTTGAATTGCACTTGAGGTCGGAGCTGACAGTTGATTCAGTCTTTTTTTTGTGTGTACTCCTTGTCTTCCCAGGCAGCACATGGGAAACTCTGGCTCAGCACATTGGGGTCACCAGGTAAGGGCAGAGCGAAAAGCATGGGGAGAGGCCCCTTTTCAAAGATGCCCACCATGTTTTCGGGGGGGGGGGGGTTTTGGAGCTCCCCATTGTGCTCACTCTGGCGCTTATCCCCCCTTGGGCAGGCCCTGCCCCCCGGTTCCTTATTTGCTTTGGGACGGTCCAACCAATAGGCTGGCTCAGCTGCTGCAGGGGACTCTGTTTGAAGACGCTGTGATCTCTCCCTCTCCCCCCCCCCATTCTAGGCTGGACCTAAACGACATCCCCAATTCGGTGCGCTTGGTAGCCCCCGACCTGGGCATCCTGCTGGTCTCTGCCATCTGCCTTGGCGTTTGCAGCCGCTTGCAGCCAGTCAGGGAGGTCATCCCCTGGAGTCGCCCGTCCGAATGCCCCCTCCCCCAAGAACAGGTGGGCTTGGTGTGGATCGGCTGGCCCTCGTCTCTTCTCTGCAGAAGCAACTTTGCCCCTCCCCCCCGCCTGTCTGGGCTCATCCCAGCAGCTGGACTACAACTCTCATCCTCCCCAGCCCCCCGACCTATTGGCTGGGAGCAGGGGCCAGCTCCACGGGTGGGTCCAGGCAGGGGAAGGCCCACCCTCGGCTTCTGGGTGGCTTCTCCCTGTGTTCTGGGGGCATTTGCCCTTCTGACTTCCAGCTCTGCCCAAGTGGAAGTGGGCCAGCCTTCGAACCAATACTTAAAATGTCTACTTTTTCCTCTTCTTCCCCCAAATCCTCTCCGCTGCCTGTAAAACAGTCTGCAATAAAAGAAGGATCGGCAGTGTAAAAACCCAGCTGGGTGCATCTCCTTCTGTGCAGGGTGGGAAAACGTGTGCCTTCGTCCCACCCTTTCTGCGGCTTTCTCCAGCTTGCAGGATTCCTCCCCTATTTCCTCTCCTATTTCCCCTCCCTGCTGGCCATTGGGGGAGGGGGGGGAGGAGTTGCCAGCCGTAATGGCTGGACCCCCCCCAGAAAGAGGGGATTTCTCTGCTCTGGACCTCTTTGGCACAGTGGGCTGGCCTTGGAGCCGTTGGAGGGGCGGGGGGGGGGGGGGGGAAGGGGGCAGGGCCCCCAAGAAACTTTGCAGGGCCGGAGCCCCCACCCTGGAAAAAATCACACTGGGTTCGGGAACCCGAGCCAGGCAGCCCAGTCAAAACAGGCCGTTCTGTGCGGAATGAACTTGGCAAAGCACTTGTGGGAGATAAGCAGGGCCAGGTGCGGGTCAGGGGGAGGGAGGGGCCTTGTCCATCAGGGAGCACCAGCTGGACATCTCTCTCGCTCTCTCTCTCTCTACCCCTCCCACCCCTTGCACTGACAAACCCTCCGGATTGGCAACAGCAGCTCAAACTGGCCAGGCCTTGGTTTATAAACTGGGAGGGGGGCCAGTCCCTTCAATGCCGGTGGCTTCGGTTTTTCTAAGTGCTGTTATTCTATTTTTAAAAAATTGTACCTCTGGTAATGACCATTTACACCCCCCCCTTAAATAAATAAATAAATAGATAGATACATAAATATAGAAAGGAAGGAATGAAGGAATGAAGGAAGGAAGGAAGAAAGGAAGGAAGGAAGGAAGGAAGGAAGGAAGGAAGGAAGGAAGGAAGGAAGGGTGCCCATATTGAAGGAAAGGGAGGGCAGCTTCCACGCTTTCCCCCCTAGGGAGACCCTCCCTCTTGAGTACGGAGCAATTGGAGCTTCGTCCTTCCTCCACAGTCCATGGAGATTCTCAGTCACCTGATCAGCCTTTCCAGAATTCTGCCGGGGTGCCTTAAGCTGCTCCCCAGAAGCAGCAAGTTGGTTTCTCTCCATGGCAAAGATTAGGCTCCAGGCCTCCTTCGCAGAAGAGCGTTGGAGTCTCTCCTAGGTGTTGAGTGACCTCCTATGACCTTTCCCTTTCCTTCAGGAAGAAGCAGCCATTGATGAGGGCCACTCAAAGTCCCACGGAGGGACTGACTCTCAGGCCCCAGGCTCGCCAAGGCGACGGACACAGCTGGCTGCTCGGCTCCGGGTAAAGGCTCACGGGCTCTTGATGGCCGTTGGAAAGATCTTGGCTGTTGTGTTAATTGCCCTGGCAGGTAGGTGTGGAGGATTCTGTGGAGAGGGGATGACCCAGCTGTCTGTTTCAAAAAAGAATCTCCTCCTCTGAGTATCTGCACCTAGTTGGAACCTTTAAGGGCTCCTTCTTAACAGCTAGAAGTGGCGTAGACGGTCTCTCCAATGCAATGTGTTCGAGAATGTTGACCAACCCTAGTGAAGAACCCAACCCAGGTCTCTTGCCTTGTTAATGAGAAGCTTCTCTTTTACAACTTTTTAAATTGAGCCCTAACAACAAAGGCAGAACTCCTTGCTAGCCCTACCCACCCACCCCAGTCCAATGGGAAGCAAATCCTCCAGGACAGGAAACGCCCAATTGCCCAGGGAAAGGAACCAACGGAGAGCGAAACTTTTCTGTTGTAGCGAGAAAGCCGCTGTCAGAAAGGGAGAGGAGGCTCCTTCTGGGGTGCTACTTGGCGGCCAGTGATCGCGAAACCGTCTCTGACTAGGAAGGATGGGGTTGCTGCCCAGCCCATCGGGAAGGTCTCAGCCGGGGCCACAGAAACGGGTGATGGCTTCATGGATGTTCAGGTCTTGGTGAGAAGAGTTTGTGAGGACTCTGAAGGAGCAAAGAGGGCCATGTGTCAGGATTCCAGCAGTTGCCCCAATGTTTTTGGCACATCTGGAACATGGAGCTGAATCACTTTTCTGGCAGGGCTGATGTGACTTCTTCAGGGTTTCCCAGACATCTCCTGACGTTAGCATGGAGCAGGGGTCTCCAACCGTGGCCACTTTAAGACTTGTGGACTTGAACTCCCAGCTTTGCTAGCTGAGGAATTCTGGGAGTTGAAGTCCACCAGTCTTAAAGTGGCCACGGTTGGAGACCCCTGGCATGGAGGGTTAACTATGGATTGGGGGCTCCAAATTCTTCTGGAGAACACAAGGTTTGGATGGGTTGTAGGAGAGAAGCCGCCTGAAGTGTCTACGCCAGTCAGTCAGACCTGGGGGAGCTTGGAAGCTCTTGGCCACCCCAAGACCTTAGAGAACTACCAATAAGATCATGGCAGTTGGATCAACGTTTCTCGCCTTAAAATAAAAGGTCCCAGTCCTCGTGCTCTCTTCCTTGGCGCAGGTCAATTATGCCAAGCAGCCTCTAAATCTCAGTCACCCTGCTTCTTCTTCTTCTTCTCTGCCTTCCCAGGGATCACCTTGCCCTCGGCCTTCTCCAGTGTCTACTACCTGCTGTTTGTGGGCCTCATGACCTGGTGGGCCTGCCACTTCTCCAACAGCCAGCTGGCCTTCAATGCTTTGTGCATCATGGTGGATATCTTTGCTGGCGGCCACCTCATTTGCCTGTACAGCTACCAGACCCCCTTCATGCAGGAAACCCTTCCGCCCGCTGGCCTCTGGGCACGGTGAGTGGGCTGTCCTCTTCATTGCTCTGGAAGGATACAGCCTTTGGGGGAGGGGGCTGAGACTGGAGGTAGATTCCCAGGGTTTTGTTCCTGGAAGACTCCTTGCTGGTGGGGTGGTACTGCAGATTGGCAAGACTCATCCTGCGTGTCCACTCTGTTATTCTTCAAACATCCTTCTTAAAATCAGGGTGATGGGAGGAAATCTCTTTATTGGTGTAGATGTTGATTTTCTAGAGCAACTTGCGGACTTCCAGAGCAAATGTTGATCTTCTGGAGAAAGGATCTTCAAACTTGGCCAATAAGACTTGTGAACTTCAACTCCCAGAATTCCTGAACTAACATGAATGGAGGAGGAATTCTGGGAGTTGAAGTCCACAAGTCTTAAAGTGGCCAAGGTTGGAGACCTCTGCTCTAGAAGTTAAGTCTTTCCCCATAAAGTAGAAGGTTCTCCCATGCCCAAAGGCTGGAGAGGGTTGGGATGTCCATTGGTTGTGAAGTCCCCTCCTGATCCTGGCCCCACCTCTGATGGCAAGAAAGCTATGCTTGCTGGAGAATTCTGGGAGTTGGAAATCCACAAGTCTTCAAGTTACCAAGTTTGGAGACTTCTGGCGTACCAGATGGAGGCTGCTGGAAAGTTCAGTGTGCCGAAACTGGTCTTGAAGACTACAGAAGAGTGCATGGTTTGATAGGGATTACTAATATGAGGCTCCAAACATTTACTTCCTTTGCATCTTGAAGGCCCCAAAGGTTGGGTCTAGGGCCTCCCCGAGGAATAAAGAAGCAGTTGGAGAGCGACAGAATGACTTTCAGTCATTGTATCTGCAAGCAGGGTCTGAATGCTGCTTTCCTCCATCTCCCCTGTAGATTGTTTGGGTTGAAGGCCATCATCCTCCCTGTTGGCTGTAACCAGACCAACAAGCTGCTGCTGGATGTCAACCACCCCTGGCCCGTCTATGCCAATCCAGGCATCCTCTTGCTGCTCTGTTACCTTTTGGCTACCTTGGTGAAGCTCCGAAGGTTGCACTTCTCTGAACAGGTGAGCCCAGAGTGTGTGACTTTTGGTACCTTGGGTACGGGAAAGTCAGGGAACGAGGAGCATGAATACACTGGAAATGCCTCCCTCCTCTCGCTCTTCCCTTTCCAACTATTGGAAAAAACAGAGGGATTCCGAGTCTTCAACCTCAGAGCTTCTGGAGCTGGAAAACCGGCCAAAGAACAAAGACCACCTGCCTGAAGATGCCAAGGTGAGGCGAAGGACTTGGCTCCAGGTGCCAAGTCGGGTCAGGGAGGCTGCGGGATTGGATCCCCTTCAGCACCAGCAAGGAAGCAGCTGGCACGAAGAGCAGGCTGGGACCCTCGGAGCAGCAGAACATGGGGGAGGGGACTGTAGCCTCTCAGACGGAAGGTTCCGGTCACGGCGTAGCCTCCTTCAAGAGGGAGCGGAGAGGGCTGGGAGGCGGCACCTCCCAGATGCGCCTCCTGGTGCTTCTAGGGCTCAGAAGCGCCTGTTGGAACGCAGCCGAGTTTGGGCTGCTTTGGGGTTTTCCTGGAATGGAATGGAATAGAAAATAATAGAATGGAATGGAATGGAATATAATAGAACAGAACAGGACAGGACAGGACAGGACAGAACAGAACAGAATAGAATAGAAATTAGAATTAGAATTCTTTATAGGCCAAGTGTGATTGGACACACAAGGAATTTGTCTTTGGTGCAAATGCTCTCAGTGTACATAAAAGAAAAGATACATTCGTCAAGAGTCAAGAATCATCAGGTACAATAATAGTCACAGGGCACAATAAGCCATCAAATCATACTAGGAAACAGTCCATATAAATCATAAGGATACAAGTGACAAAGTTACCGTCATGCAGTCACAGGTGGGAGGGGATGATGGGTGATAAGGAGGGATGAGAAGATTAATAGTGATCGTGGTGCAGGCTTTGCTAAATAGTCCTGAGTCCTGATCATTCCCTTTGTCCAACGTTTACAGCCGATGCTGGTCCAGGAGTCTGAGGCTTCTGGGACAGAGGACCCCACCGTGCATGGAATGGAGGAAACCGATCACTCAGGTGAAGCAAAAGGCTCCCCTGCAGTTGCTCTCCCTCCCTCCCTCCCTCCCTGCCCTTAATTTGGGAGGCTTGGGGGGTCTGGGCCCTGCTCTAAAAGAGCCGCCCCTCCTCTGCAGCCCTCCGGAAACGGAAGCCTCCCCGGGAGAAGATGCAGCTGCTTCATTCCTTGGGCCACGTCGTCCTGAAGCAGAGCTACGTTTGCGCCCTCATCGCCATGATGGTGAGCGGGGGGGGGGGGGGGGGGGGGGGGGGGGGGGTGCCCGGGGGGGGGGTTCAGGGGACTTTCCTGGATGCATTGAGGAGCAGGAGACCCTAAGTACCACCTGAAGGCGCATAGGGCCTCCTCCTTGATCAGGGAGTTGGACTTGGTCCCTTCCAGCTCTGTTCTGATTGATTGGTCCGAGCCTTTAGGATTGTACAGGATTGCCGGAATAATGTACATCTGTAGAAACCTATCATTATTTTCTGTGTTTCTTTGCTTTTTGTACTGTTATCCTCTCTCTTTTTTTTGATCATTTTTCTTTCTTTTTTTTTTCAAATCCCCTCGTGTTTTTGATAATCCGTAAAGTTGCACACGTATAAAAAGAGCCTGCTCACTCTGGGCTTCTTTCCAGGTGTGGAGCATCACCTACCACAGCTGGCTGACCTTCGTGCTGTTGCTCTGGGCGTGCCTCATCTGGATCGTGCGCAACCGGCACCACTTCGCCATGCTCTGCTCACCCTTCATCCTTCTCTACGGCGTCGCCCTCTGCAGCCTGCAGTATGTGTGGGGCATGGACCTGGAGCCCGAGCTGCCCACCAAGGTCGGCTTCATGCCCCTGGACCAGCTGGGGCTGGTGCGGCCTCCCTACCCCTGCCTGGACCTGGGGGCTAAGGTAGGACCAACCCCTGAGCCCGGTTCGACCTACGTGGATGTCAGCATTGGTTTCGATTCTTCTTTTACCGCCGTCTTTCTCAGTCGATGCTTTGCCAGAAGGTGGGGCTCCAAAGCAGGTCTGTCCGCTGCCTGGGGGTTCGTGCAGCCTTGGCACAAAGTTGGGGTGTTTACTGGTGTTTCTCAACCTCAGCAAACTTTAAGCTGTTGACATTCTTCAACTGCTAGGATTCCCCAGCCAGCGTGCTTTAAGATGCAGGGACTTCGATGCTCAGAATTCCCCAGCCCGAAAATTGCTGGAGTGCATGACTGAAAAATGACACCCAGTTTCATGACAAAAATACAAGAATGAAGGACTTTTCCTTTTTTTACTTATTTTTAATTGGAGAATTTTTTTACAAAGAATACAGGCAGTACAATTAAACAGAAAGGAAAAAAAGTATGGAAAGGTGATAAGTGGATAAATTTTAATATTGTATTATTTGTCAGTCCAGGCTGGCAAATAATTTTGATTTTACGGACCCCTAAGAGGGACTTTGGGGGGGGGGGGCGTATCCCAGGAGTCCTCGGACTGCCCTTTGAGAAGCCCCGTTTGAGGGGAAATGTCACTCACAGTTTTAGCTCACAGACCTTCCTGCCTCCTGAGACCAGGCGCGCTTCTTTTGGTCCAGGTCTCAACCGAAATGCTGTAACCTGTCTTTCTCCACTCCTCCTTCCCCACAGCTCCTTTACACCTTGACCTTTTGGCTTCTGGTGCGACAATTTGTGAAGGAGAAGCTGCTGAAAAAGAAACCTCTTCCTGCCCCTCTGATGGAAGTGATGGTTATCGAGGCAGGTGAGTACCGAGGCTCTGAAAACATGGGGTGAGAAGCAGATCCAGTAGAGAATAATGCATATTTTAACTTTTAAAAATCTGACTTTAGTGGGACTTAAAGCCCCTCCCCCTCCATTTTAACCTGCTAAATGGGTATCCAGCTGCAGTTTTGCATTTGTGGGAGTTTTATTGGTAGCCTCTCGGCAAGCCAATCTTTGGACTTGAAGGAATTCTGTCCAGATCATTTTCCAACCTTGTCTTAACTTGCCCTGGAGGGCAGGATTGGTCTTCAGGACTATGCCAACCTAACTTCAGGAGGAGTACAAACCAACATTTGTGGAATAAGCTGCAGTGGGCTGGTTCCCAAAATTCACTAAGCCTAAATTCAGTGCATCCCTTTCCAGTTGGGTGCGATGGGTCATCGGGGCTACAGCACTTTTAGTTTGAAAGAGGGTTGAGTTCTGCTCGGGCTACAGTTCCTCCTGAGCCCCACTTTTCTGTCCCCCTCTCCTTTACAGAGCCAGACCCCAAGCACGATGTCCTGAAAGTCCTGGGCAACCATGTGAAGGGCTTCTACGCCAAATTCTGGATCTTAGTCTGTGCAGGCATGTTCATTGTGGTCAGCTTTGCTGGACGGCTGGTGGTCTACAAAATTGTCTACATGTTCCTCTTCCTCTTGTTCCTCACCCTCTTCCAGGTGATTAGTTGACCTTTCAATCTACTTTTTGCGTCATCCCGATGACCTGCAGATTTGCTCCAAGCGTTCCCAGTCATTGTGGCTTTCAAGCCAGATTGGTCCATCTGGATCCCTAATATTAACCCTCTGGGAATTGGGGAAGAGAAGAATTTTCCCCAAGCCCTTCTACCTTCACTCTGAAACAGAAGTATTACAATGTGATGGGGTAGTGATCAGATGGGGGTAGCGATCTTCATACCCTTTGTAAAATACTTCTTGGGTCTCCTGCACAAGTATAACAAGTTGGAGTGGGTGAACTATGTCACAGTGTGAAAATGACTAGACCAGGGGTGTCCAACCTTGGCAAGTTTAAGACTTGTGGACTTCAACTCCCAGAGTTCCTCAGCCAGCTTTGCTGGCTGAGGAATTCTGGGAGTTGAAGTCCACAAGTCTTAAACTTGCCAAGGTTGGACACCCCTGGACTAGACGCTTCTCTTTACTCTCCTCTGCCCCCAACTTCTTCTGCAGGTTTACTACGATCTCTGGCGGAAACTCTTGAAGGCCTTCTGGTGGTTTGTGGTGGCTTACACCATGCTGGTCCTTATAGCCGTTTACACCTTCCAGTTTGAGGACTTCCCCATGTACTGGAGGAACTTCACCCATTTGACCGATGAACAGTGAGTAGAGTCACAGCTTTGCAGCCCCAAGTCCTATGGATCTATGGATCCTTACCTGGTCTGGAATCTTCTAGGTCAGAGGATGGATTGAGATAGATCCTTGGTTGATTTCAGGGAGATCAAAATGGTCTCCTCTTCCCAGGTAGACTATTGAGGTGCTCAATTCAGCTTAAGTGATTTGATTGAATTGAGTACTTCCAAATTGATTGGTCAGTTCAGTAGACAGTTGCACATAGATCAGGTCCTGCCTGGTCAACACCAGCGCCGTTTGACCTAAGGACTCAGAAGATCCTCCCTCCCTCCTTATCCAGACTGGGTGACCTTGGCTTGGAGCAGTTCAGTGTCACGGAGCTCTTCTCCAGCATCTTCATCCCTGGCTTCTTCCTGCTGGCCTGTATCCTTCAGCTCCACTACTTCCACCGGCCGTTCATGCGCATCACTGATCTGGAGCGCGTCATCTCACCACGGTATGTCCGTTGCTTTCAGGTGGGCAGGCCCTGGCTTCCTGAGCCAGCTTTTCATGAATGTGCTGGTCGGAAGAGAAGGAAGGAAGTCAGTCTCGGCCGCTGCCCAAATCTTGTCTTTCCAATCCCGGGGAGTCTTGCAACTCTGTTGACGTCCTTCTTGATTTTAGGAAGGGAGAGATTAGTGGGAGGCAGGAGCTGCTCCAGGCTGAAGGTGGCATAGGAGAAGACCCTGAGCCAACTGATGACGTTGATGCCTCTTCTGAAGGTAAGGGGAGCAAGCGGAAGAAGAAGAAGAAAGAGAATTGAGAAAGATCAAGCCTGCTTGAAATGAAAGAACTCTCCATTCGAAGAAAAATCAGTTTAGGTTCAACCGATTGTCTTCCTGGAGGATGGACCTTCTGCAGAGATGGTACACCCTCCAGGAAGGGAACTATGCTGGTTGAGCCTAAATGGATTCCCCTTCGAACGGAGAGTTCTTTCATTTCAAGCAGGCTTGATCTTTCATTGGAGTCCTTGGAGAAGGCAAAGCCTTCTAAAGCGGGGGCCTCCAACCGTGGCCCCTTTAAGACTGGTGGACTTCAACTCCCAGGATTCTGGAATTTGAAGTCCACCAGTCTTAAAGGGGCCACGGTTGGAGGCCCCTGTTCTAAAGAATCAGACTTGATGAATATTATCCAACTCTGCCTCCTCCTCCTCCTCCTCCTCCTCCTCCTCCTCCTCCTCCCTCTCCCGCAGAGGGTGTACCCAGCAAGTGGGGCCTGGTGCTGCAGCGTCTCTCGGTGTTGGGGAGGAGCTTCTCAGACATCCTTGGCCACATCCGGGTCTTTGTCCTGCGCCTGCTGGAGCTGCACATTCTGAAGTTGGTGGCTCTGTACATCCTGTGGGTTGCTTTGCAGGAGGTGAGTCCTGGGCCCAGGAAGGGAGCGGCCGAGGGCGGGGCTTGATGGAGGCAAGGAGCCACCTGGGTATCAAGCCATTCAGCCTTTGCAACGCCGGCTCAGGAAGCCACCGGGGTCTGTAAGAGAGAGGAGAGGCAGCCTGCAAAATGGTTCCTGCAGTATTTGGTGCCTCAGGGAATCTCCAAGCGCTCGCCATACGAAGCATGTTTGGGACATTGAGAGGGGAGTAGCAAGGAAAAGCAAAGGATCTGCTTTGGCCCACAGAGGTGGTAACAGGATGTGGGCAAAGGTGTGGGCCATGCAGGGCCCCAAATCATTTTTGAGGCTGCTGGAGTCTTACCTTCAGCACCAGGATGACCTTCCCGGCCCTTTTCTGTCCCATGAGAGGCTCTGTTTTTTAAAATTAAGGGAAGGCCGGCCAGCTCCTCAGAGCGCTGTCTGCCAGCCTCCCCGGCACCACCCAGAGCTCCAACTGTTGTGCCTCCTCGTGTCCTCTCCCCTCCCCAGGTGTCGGTGATGAACCTGCTGCTGGTGGTGCTGTGGGCCTTCGCAGTGCCCTACAGCCGCTTCTGCCACATGGCCTCCTGCCTCTCCACCATCTGGGCCTGCATCATCATCGTCTGTAAGATGCTGTACCAGTTGAAGGTTGTCAACCCACAAGACTACGACAGGAACTGCAGCTTGGTAAATGCACCCGTCCGCCCCCCACCTTCAACCCAGAAATGGGAGGAGAGGGAAGCGCCTTCAAAGCTCAGGATGTATGCGCGGGAGACAGTCCCAGAACTACATAGGGAAGGGGAGGAAATGGTGGTCAGCAGAGAAATGCTGGCTGATATAAGAGTATAAACTCTTGTTTATACTCCATCCCAACCTCCCGGGAAGGCCTGTGAATTCTGTTGATGGCCTAGCATCTTCTGAAGTGTTGCACTATAGCATAATTCCTTTCTTTCCCTCTAGCCTCTGCTCAATGAGACCAACCTCCAGGCAGAGGAGATCGGCAATTCTACCCTCTACCAAGGCCCTGTAGACCCAGCAAATTGGTTTGGTATTCGCAAGGAATATCCCAACCTGGGTTACATCCAGGTGCGTAGCAGCTCTTTCCCTCCAGCCCTGAAGGGAGTTGTAGCCCACCATGTCTCTTTGATATTAAGGCAAGGTGGTCCCTGTTTCATGTTCTTGGCTCTTCTTCTCCTTCTCCCTCTTCAGAACCACCTGCAGGTTCTGGTCCTGCTGGTTTTTGAAGCGGTGGTGTATCGATGCCAGGAATACTATCGCAAGAAGCACCAGCTGGTGCCTCCGCTCACCCAGACCGTCTTTGAAGATGCAACACGCCAGAACCTAGATCAAGGCTTGCTGAACTGCGTCAAGTACTTCACCAACTACTTCTTCTACAAGTTTGGCCTTGAGGTGAGCTGGACTCTGCTGGCTGGGCTGAAGAGAAGAGGCTACCTAGGTTGTGTACAATGAAGAAGTAAAAGCATGGCCAGTATGATAAGGCAGTAGGAGTGTCGGGAGCAAAAATATGAAGGCATGTGAAAAAGGGGTGGAGCTTTTGCCGGAATGAATAAAAGAAAGAGGTATGGTACTTGGCCAAAGCTTCTTAAGCCATGGAACAATCCTTGATGTCAGGGCAGAGTTTCTCGTTCATCTCCCAAGATGCCACCAGACCAGAGTTTTCCAGTGCATCCTCTTCCTTGACTCCTTTCCCTTCTCTTTCCTCAGATTTGCTTTCTAGTGACAGTGAACGTGATAGGCCAGCGCATGAACTTCATGGTGATCTTCCATGGATGCTGGTTGGTTGTCATCCTGACCCGGAGGCGACGTCAGGCCATTGCCAAGCTCTGGCCCAAGTACTGTCTCTTCCTGGCTCTCTTCGTCATCTTCCAGTACCTTCTCTGCGTTGGGATTCCTCCAGCTCTCTGCATTGGTGAGACTCCAAGTGTTGCTGCAGCCTTGCTTTCCAAGTAGAACTAGTGCTTGGCCTCCTTTCTGCTCCTCCGCCGTCCCCATTGATGGAGGTCATGGCAAGTCGCTTCTGTAAAACGCACGGAAAGCCAAGTGCAACCACAGGGAAAGCGGCCAGGGGCCATTCTGATCCTCGTAGCACAAGGGCATCGTTTAACCAGAAAAACGTCATCCCAAACGTTCAGTGGGCAGTTCCCTACTGAGAAAGGCTTGCAATATCTGGGGAATTTTAGGTGAGGAAAGAGCTGACTTGGAGATACTAGAAACTAGATAATGGGGAGGTGCCGACACAGGAAGAGTTTTCTCCTCCTTGACCAGAAGGTCATCACAAAACGCAGGAAGTGAGAGATCCAGGACACACAGAGGGAGCTGCTCTTGGTTAAACTCTCGACTCTCCTGTGCCAAGGTGCAGTGAGGGTGACCAATTAGGCTTCCTAGAGGGGAAGAGGATCACTTGCTGCTGCCGGCCAAAGACACCCCGTCAGCACAGTGCTTGTCCGTTCCCACCGCCTTCCTTCTAAACAGGGAAAGCTTTGGAGGAGGGAGATCCTGAAACGTGACCGGGAGGCTGCTGGGCTCCGGATCCCGGTGCTTCTCCCAAGATGCCATGTCTTTGCTTCTTACCTGTCTAGATTACCCCTGGAGGTGGAGCCCCACGCTTCCCATTACCTCCGTTCTCATCAAATGGATGTACTTGCCCGACTTCTTCACGAAACCCAATTCGCTCAATCTCATGAGTGAGTACCTGGAAACAGCCCTGCTGGGTTAGAAAACCTGGTGGAAGAGAATTGTGTGTGTGTGTGTGTGTGTGTGTGTGTGTGTGTGTTTTTAAATTTACTAAAGAAATGTATATGCCCATCCAATTCATTCACAGTGACTCCGGGTGGCTTATAGGAATAAAAGCTCAAACCCAATGCCCCACCCCTACCCTTGTGGCTGTGCTTACACTATGTCATCATTCATGGCAAGACAAGACACGGACTGTCCCGATTTGGAAGTGAATCTGGAAAGGGTGTCATATTTTGCCTCTTGGTTGGGGTCATGAAAACCTTCCTCTGTCAGCCATTGAGCCCCAGCCTGGATTCAGGAGTGAGCCAAATTCAGCACCAGGGAGAGCTCCCCAGAGGAGGGTTGAAGCCCTTGGGACTCGTGGCCCTCGGAGTACAGCTTGGCGTCTGGGACAGTTCCCCTTAAGGACGTAGTTCAACTCTTAAATATAGTCTGTGATTGTCTCACACACACACACACACAGAGCCAAGCTGCCTGGTGGGCCGCACCTCTTGGGGTGGGAGGTGACTCGCTAGTGGGCTCTTCCCCCTCTCCAGAAGGGGAGGCGTTTCGGCTACCCACAAGCACGCCTGCCTTCCCGTGTCTTTCGGTGTGATGGGCATTCAAACAAAGTCCCCGCTTCCCGCAGGTGACTTCCTCTTGCTCCTCTGCGCGTCTCAGCAGTGGAAAGTTTTTGTCAACGAGCAAACGGAGGAATGGGTGCAATTGGCTGGGGACAACCGGGAGCAGCTGGAGCCCCTGCAGGGGCAGGCAAACCCCGTGCCCAATTTTGTCAACTGCAGGTGAGAGCAGAACAGCCCCCTCCCCGGGCGAGTATTAGCCATGCTTTGCCCCCAGGTGGCTTTTCCTGGCTGACTTCACGCTAACTAGGACGATTTATCCTAAGGATAAGAAAGGGTGTTTGAACCAGCACCGCATTTCGATCCCTCACAACTGGGATTAAATCAACTGAGATCCATCAAAGATCAATGACTTTTGCTAGATTCCTCATTCGATTCCGCCAGGCTCTTCTTCTCAATCTTTTCCTTCCCCTTTTCCCCCACTTGCCAGGTCCTACCTAGACATGGCCAAGGTGTGTGTGTTCCGCTACCTCTTCTGGTTCGTCTTGGTCATTGTCTTTGTCGCTGGGGCCAACCGCATCAGCATCTTTGGCCTGGGCTACCTGATGGCCTGCTTCTACCTGCTGCTCTTTGGCACCACCATGTTGCGCTGGTCCCTGCGTGCCCGGCTGATCCTCTGGGACTGCCTGATTCTCTACAACGTGATGGTGATCATTGCCAAGAATATGCTCTCGGTAAGGCTTAAGCCCCCGGCCTTCCCTTCCATCTCTCAGGCTGAAGGATGTCAAGTCCAGGTCAATTCCTTTCCAAGCGGGGGATTCTTGTGTGTGTGTATAAAATGTGGGTCTCTGGCCTGAATGCAGGCAGCCCCTTTTGGGTGGGGAGTGACTCCCTGTCTGTTTCTGCCAGCTCCTCTCCTGCGTCTTCGTCCAGCAAATGCAGAACAACTTCTGTTGGGTCATTCAGCTCTTCAGCCTGGCCTGCACCGTCAAGGGCTACTATGACCGTGAGTATCTTCTCTGGACATCCAAGCACTGGTGGGGGGGGGGGGACGCAAGGGCTCCCCTTCCCCAGTTCTGGTGCTGGACCTGGAGTGTGGAGTATGGAGAAACAGCGGGGGAAGAAGGGATCCGTAGCTCTTGTGGTTTCCCCACGGATGACTCGCAGCGTCTTCACAGTAACACCCAACCGTCACAGAAGCGGCAGAAGTCCTGTCCGTGTGACGGTTGCTTTGACCCAGGGACGGTGGGGGGGACTCCAGAAATTGCCTGTAGGGAAAAGACGTTGGAGAAAGGCCAAGACACACCTCGCTTCGGGCATGTTGGATGAGATTCAAGCAACCAGATTTGGCCAAACATGATTTGGTTTACTTTGGCTCCATATTCTATCGATAGCTTTTTCTGGCATGTTTACGCAAGGTTATCATTTAATGTGTTGCATAAACAACACCTGAAACCTGACCTTTCATTGCTTACTTCCAGTCCGTTTGAGCGGACGTGTGTCCTCAATCACACACACAAAAACCCAACCACCCAGATTTGAAAGGAAAGATGCATTTGGCCCCTGGTGGGACTTGTGACCCACGGACAGAGGCCTCCATTTGAGTGGAACATGGTCCTCTCTTCTGGGGGCTGGGGATGTGGAAGTGCCCAGGGTCCCCACTGATGGAGAGGCACGTGGGGAGGGGCTCGGGGGGGGGGCTCCTGCTCTGCTCCCCATCTGAGCCCCTCGTTCCCTCCTTCTTTGCCAGCCAAGGATGCGGCCAACAACCAGGACTGTGTGCTGCCTGTGGAGGAAGCCGGCATCATCTGGGACAGCATCTGCTTCGTCTTCCTGCTCCTCCAGCGCAGGGTCTTCCTCAGCTGCTACTTCCTGCATGTCTGGGCTGACCTCAAGGCCTCGGCCCTGCAGGCCTCCAGGTGGGTGGGGAGGGGCTGGGCCGCCGGGGAAGTCAGGGCTGAGCTTTGCTCATCCGGGGAGGCAGGGGGTCAAGTCCACTTTCCAGAAAAAAAAAACAAGCCATGGGTTTGCTTAATAGCCACAGTGTTCACTTAATGACTGCCACAAAAAAGATCGTAAAATTGGGAGGGGTCACCTGTTGAGCAACCAGGAGGATGAGGGGACTGGAGGCTAAAACATACGAAGAACGGTCGCAGGAACTGGGCCTGGCTAGTCGACGGAAGAGAAGGACCAGGGGAGACAGGAGAGCAGCCTTCCAATATTGGAGGGGCTGCCACAGAGAGGAGGAAGGGGTCAAGCTATTTTCCAAAGCACCTGAAGGCCAGACAAGGAATAATGGATGGAAACTAAACAAGGAGAGATTCAACCTGGAAATAAGGAGAAACTTTCTGACAGGGAAAACAATCAACCGATGGAACAGAAGTTGCCTTCAGAGGTTGTGGGAGCACCATCACTGGAAGCTTTCAAGAAATTGGACTGTCCACTATCAGAAATGGTGTAGGGTCTCCCGTTTGGGCGGGGGATTGGACTAGATGACCTTCAAGGTCCCTTCCAACTCTGATTATCTCTTATTTGTTATCTGACCCACTTCATGACTGACAACCGTAATCGCAGGCTCGATGAAGCCGCAAGTGGAGGACCACCTATGTTGTAACCCTGTTGCACCCAGATTGGAGTGAAGACGGGTCTCCGGGGGCCAGGCTCATGGATCCTGGTTTGTGTCTCCACAGGGGCTTCGCCCTCTTCAAAGCCAGGATGGTCAAGCAGATGATGGCTCACCACCAGGCTGAGAAGAAGTCCTTGGTCCAACTGAAGCGGCAGTGAGTGTCGTGGGAGGGGAAGGAGAGGAAGAGGCGGGGGGCCTACAAGGGTTGATCCTGGCTTTCAGGCCAGTGGGGGTGGGGGGTGGGAGACCCCCTTCCCTGGAGCAAGACGTGGGTCTCGTTTTTGTGGGTCTGGGACTCGAGAGGGAGGCCAGCCTCAGCGATCTCTGGCTTCAGCAGCTGGCCTGGGTCTCCCGGGAGGGATCTCGGGAGGAATCTGCCAGGGGGAATCAAGGATCCCTGAAGGATCTGCAAGTGGGAATCCGGGCTGTGGAGGGCTCAACACCGCTGAGGTGGCTCAGGGGTGAAGCTTCTCCCTGGGGTTGGGAGGTCCCAGGACACCAAGCGGGGTCCTTCAGGCGGGGCTGAGAAGATGCCAGGAGGAGGCTGCCAGTCTAGCCTTGGCAGGAGGGGGCAGGGAGACGCATGAGCACCGGGCAGGAAAGGCCTTGCAGGTCTGAGCCACCGACTTTGGCTCCTGGGGCCCAGAGAAGCGACTTGAGGTGCAGGCAAAAGGGGATCCAGGGCGGATGTTGGCATGGGGACATGAAGCCTCTGTGCCACTGCCCAGCGCCTGCCCTCTGCCCACAGGATGCAACGGATCCGAGCCAAGCAGGAGAAGTACCACCAGGGACAGCTGGCCAGGGACTCGGAAGAGGCCACGGAGGCAGACACGCCAGGTGTGAAGGGACTTTGGGGGCCGGGCTGGGGAACGTTTCTGGAAACCCTCTAGGAAGTCCATGGCTGGGCCATGCCCAAAGGCGGCAGATCTCCTGCAGTCGCCTGTTCCACCGTATGGTTTCACTGGTGGACACCCACGTCACTTCCATGCCACGTCGAGCAGTGGATCTTACAAAAGGAGCCATTCCTCCCCACGGGAGACGCTGGGAAGTGTGACTTTAGATGCCATTTGGACCCATGGAAGGCTGGGGCGGGGATGTGGGTCTTCCTTTATCCTTGCAAGTCCCCCCCGCCTCCCTCCTGGGATTTGGGCTCCCCCTGCCTGCGACCCCCACGTAGCCGCTGACTCCTCCCTGCTTGGTCTCCATGAAGAGTGGTGGGCGCTCCCTCCTCTCGCCCGCTCGCAGATGCATGAGGCAGGCATGGCTTTTGCCCCCGAGAGGTTGAGGAGGCCGGAGATGGAGACGGTTTGGGCCTGGCCTTGCGGAAGACTTCCGTGTGCGTTAGGAGAGGAGCAGCTGCTCGGCCGGCCTTGTCCACGGTCAGCCCCTCCAGCCCTTCCTGGGTCCCTCATCTGCCTTTGTACCCTGTTCCACAGCCTCTGGTGCCAAGAAGGACCCTGGCCAGCAAAGGAAGCGCTGGTGGCGCCCGTGGTTGGATCATGCCACAGGTACAGCCCAGCCTCAGGGCTGGCGGACATACTAACCCTGGTTCATCCATTGCAATTGCTAACCATGGTGTCATTTGGGTTCTCAGTCCATCTCCTCCTCCATTCTGCACGCCTCTCTCTGGGTGGGCCTGTCTCTCATCCAGGGGCATCTGTTGCATGGGCTGCCACGCTGAGTCTCTTGCTGTCTGGGTCCTTCCAGAGACCGCTGCAGCTGCAGGCCTCATCGGGCATCGGGACCCTGGTTGCTTGTTTCGGGGCCCCCAAAAGCCTTGGGGAAGCCCTGTCTTGGTTGGGGACCATAGCTGAGACCTTGCAAGGAGGCCCAGTTCAGGCTTTGGCCTGTGTGCAGATCCCAGGCTCGGTCCTGACTTATCTGGTGGGCTGCCTGGAAGCGAAACAGCTGTCCAGACTAGCTGGTTCAGACTGGAGCCATTCTGTGGCTGGTTTGGGTGTGGCTTAGCCAGCTGTGCCTTAGTCAACACACTGAGATTAAACCGTGGCTTGCTTGTAGCATACAGACGGGATGTCTGTCCAACTAGGTAGAGCAGACTAAGATGCCAATGCCATGTAGGTCAGTCCTGCTCACATGGTAATGCTATGGTAGCAGAATCTCTCAAGCCAGAATGTGCTTCCCCTGCATTGATCTTTGTGAGAACTGGGATGGGGCACCTCCAAGACATTTTCTCACCCTGGGCTCAGTGCCCTCTTATCTGGCCGTTGCCTTGGCAGCACCTCTTCCTCCCTCGATCAAGGACATTCCCGCTGCCCTTAGGCACGTCAGCCGAGCCCAACCACCCAAACTTGCTGTGAAAGGCTTGCTTGCTTTGGCCGCGCATGCTACGGATACATCCTTTCTGGAGTGTTTAGCGAGCGTTGTCCTGCACTGCAGTGTTTCTCCACCTGGGCAGCTGGGAATTCTGGGAACTGAAGTCCATACCTCTTAAGGCCTGCAAGGTTGAGAAACAATACTTTATTGTGCGACATGGACTCTGCCTGGAAGAGCAAGGTCTGGTTTAGGAGAGTGAACTTCCAGAGAGAGAGAGGGGGGGGGAGAGATCTGGTTCTTACCCTACAGGATAGGAACCTTCACCAAAGAAGGGAAACAGGGCCAGTTAGGTGCCATCCAAACCACCCACCCGGCACCCATACAGCCCTAGCCGGAGGGGGTTGCCAGAAGCCCTGCTGAGATGTTGCGTGGACAGCTGGGGGCTGGTCTCGTCCTCCATCGCTTCTTCTGCCTGCTTGTCTCTGCCTGCTTCGGTTTCCTGGGAAACGTTTGCCTCTTTTTAACTTTCTCTGCTTTCCTTTTCTCCCCTCTAAGGAAAACCACATTCTGTGGAGGGCAGCCCCACATCGCCTGCTCTACTCTCCCCGGAGGAAGTAGCCCTTCCTTCTCGGGTGGACGGAGGCTGCCGGGGGAGGCAGGGCCATTACAGGGGTAATGCTGTTCACACAAACAGAACGGGGGGGCCGTGGGAGCAGACTCCCTTTGGAAGAAACGCCCCTCCTGCTCCCTCGAATTCCCTTGGAGGCCCAGCCACAGGAGTGGGGCCTTCCCTGGATTGCCCCTGCCCCCGGGAACATCCCTCGGGGTTCACTGGACTTTTCGGGGTGGGGGGTGAGGGTGGGAGGGTCCCTTTGCAAGCCCCAGGGTGTGTGTGTACCCAGGCACTTAGGGCAGCATTTCTCAACCGTGTCAGCTTGAAGGTAGATGGACTTTGACTCCGTGCTGGCTGGGGGATTCTGGGAGTTGACGTCCGCCCGCCTTCAAGCTGCCGAGGTTGACAAACGCCACTTTCGAGCGCATGCAGAGTCTTGCCTTATTGACAAAGCAAGTGGAGGCCGTTTCCCAACCAGAAGCTCAATGTCCGAGGAGCCAAGAAACGGCCCAAAGCATCAAATCCAGAATTCACAACCGCAGCAAAAGAGCTTAAATGAGAATGGCGTCAGGGTGACCAGTGGGGGAAGCGTCTCTGGAGTTGGTTGGGGTCTGTTTTGACTCTCCACCGTGAGGACAGTTGAGGAAGAGCCAAGGCCAAAACCAGCCTTTTGCTTGCCCAGATATTCTGGCTGGTCACCTACGCTGTGGCCTCGGCCTGGAGTTAGACCCAGAGCTGAGAAGAGCCCCTTGCTGAAAGCAGACAGTCCTCATGGGCCTTGAGCAAGGGTCTCCACACTTGGCAAGTTTAAGACTGGTGGACTTCAACCCCCAGAATTCCTGAGCTAACATTCCTGGGGGATGAATTCTGGGAGTTGAAGTCCCCAAGTCTTAAAGCGGCCAAGTTTGAAGAGCCCTGGTCTTGAGGCTCAGCTCCTCTGAACTGGACTCTTGCAGTCTTTACTGTCCTCTTTTCCTGTCCTTGACCTGCAGAGTGGCCCTTCTCTACATGCCTAGAGGCACTCTTGTCTTTCTGTCACTTTTCCTGCATGTCTCTCTTCTTGGGGGAGCCGTGGCCTTCCCCAACCCACGTGGGGCTGTTCAGAATGGGGGCCGGGGGGGGGGGGGGGAAGGAGGAGAAGGGCACTGACTGACCTTTGCTCTGGGGCTCCTAGTGCTGCACTCGGGGGATTACTTCTTGTTTGAGACGGACAGCGAAGAGGACGAAGAATCACCTGTGGAGGATCCAAAGCCCCCAAAACAAAGCGCCTTCCAGGTGAGGAAGGGGGGGGCGGGGTAGGAGGTTTCCCCCCACAAGGCCTCGCTGACTGCCTGGGATGAATTTATAGGAAATATAAATGATTATAAAACAAATGCAAAGTACCAAACCTTCCTAATTCTTTTGTAGTTGGGCTCACAGTTCCCGGGTAAATAAACACATCTGCCTTTTTTAAAGACCCTTTTCCTGCTCCCCAAGCACTGATAGGCCATCTGTGAATCAGAAATACCCTTTGCACATGCTCAAGGTGGCTGTGTCTCCTCCTCCCACCTGCTTGGGTTGCCCTTTGGCAAAGGTCCTGAGACTCCTTGAGGCAGGCAGCCACTCAGTCCAACTGTCCTCAGACCACAAAGAATGGTGGAGAAACATTTGGAACCTCAGGGTTGCCTGCCCACCTTGGGGTGTCCTGAGACCTCCTGGCGGTGGGCTCTCCTCTCCTGCTTCCGGGGTGTTTTCCAGCAGTGGAATAAGGCAGGCTCGGCCTCTCTTTTTGTCTTCTGGGTCCAGCTGGCCTACCAGGCCTGGGTCACCAGCACGAGAACGGTGCTTCGTAAGCAGCGGCGCCAGGAGAAAGAGGAACAGGAGACGGATCCAGCTGAAGGCACCTCTTCCCCAGGTGAGGCCCTTTTCCCCCCAAACGTGGCTGGTTTTCTCTGTCAACTTCCAGCACGTGCCAGGTGGCCAGGGTGTGTCCAGCTGAACACGATCCGTTGGCTTCACCAGCTCTTCCTCTTGCAGGGGAGGGGACCAAAGAGGAGACTCCCCCAGGTGAATTGCCAGATGAGAGACACAGCCAGGAGGAGGAGGAAGAGGAAGAGGAAGAGGAGGAAACTCCAGGTAGCTGGAAGGCAAGGCTCACAATGGAAGGGGATGCCTGCACAGGTTCCCTTTGGCCCCACCTTCAGGTTCCAATCCCTTAGGAGAAGGTTTCTCAACCCCAGCTATTGTGATGACCCAAAGGGGCGTGGCACAAAGGCAACCCAGTCAGATAATCAGTAAGAGTCCCTTTATTAGCTCCAACTTTGCCCCCAGTGTCCTGGTTACCCTCTGGCTGGAGAAAAATTCTCCCAGAAACAGCCTTTGGCTGCAGAGAATCAAGTCCAAAACATTGTCAACAAAAACTGTAACTATAAGTCCAATCAAGGCAAAATGAGGTAATTAATCCAGCAGGGCAGGAGAAGGAATTGCAGCAGTGAAGGCACGGCAATAACTCAACACAGTTGGGAGGATTCCAGGAACACAGATAAGCAAAGTCAACACAAGATAAACTCACATTTGTTCCCAGCAGCTGCGGCATTCAGCCTGCATCTCTTTTAAACTCTCATTCCCAGGTGTGGCTAATGAAGGGAATCAGGGCCCTTTCCTCCCCCGTAAGCCACACAACCCACGTTGCTCTCTTCTCTGTTCCTCCCTGCGTGTCCTAAGATGAAGAGGGGATGGGCCTGGGTCTTCCTCTGAACTCCCCCTCCCTTGTTCTACTTCTCCCCTGCTCTGCCCAGCCGGACTTTGCCCTTCCCCAGTTTCCTCCACAGCCAATGGAGCAACCCTCCCACTCCCTGTCAGCTGTCCAGCTTCCTCCTTGGATTCAGACTCCGACAGGAGTATGACAGCTATTTTAAGATGTGGGGACTTCCACTCCCAGGGTTTCACAGCTCCAATTTTACAACCTTTTTTGCACTAGGTCATTAAGTGAACGCCATGGTCATTTAGCAAACCTTTCACTTTGGAGCATTTTTCCTGAAAACATCCGTTTTCAGCAGCAATGCCATAACTTATTGCCACGTGACCATGGGGATACCACACATGTTTGTAGATGTGGAGTGATTGCCAAGCACCCAAAATGTGGTCATGTGACCCCGGAGGGGGGCATCATAACTCTGAAACCGTCGTAACTACCTTTGGAAGGGGGGGAGGCATCTGTCACTAAGTAGCTGGCCATACGTCAAGGACTCTGTGTACACGTTTGCAAAGGGTTTCCAACTTTCAGACGGAGATGGGCCAATGGAACCGACTCCCTTGTAGAAGCTGGACCCTCCATGTGCAGGAGGAAAACAGGGAACCATGAACCAGTGTCACCAGTTGCTTCCAGAAATTGTGGCTGCTGCATCCTTGGAGGTTTTGAAGAAGAGGCATGGCAGTCATTTGTCTGGACTGGCGCAGGGTTCCCTGCCTGAGCAGGAGCGGGTTGGGCTAGAAGACCTCCAGGGTCCCTTCTTCCAACTCTGTTGTTCTGCCCAGAGGTTCTGCGAGTGACTCAGACGGGTTTTTTTCCCAGGCAAGAGCAACGTTCTGCAGCGGGGACTGAACGCCCTGCGCTTCCTGTGGGTGCTGTGCCAGGCGACGGTGGAGGGCTTGACCCGGTGGCTGAGGGCCCTCACCAAGGACCACGAGCACCTCTCCACCGTCCTGGGCCTGGAGAGGTTTGTGCTCACCCAGCAGCTGGACCAGGTGAGCGCCCGTCAGCCGGGCTGGGGCTGGCTGGGAGGGGGGAGCTTGGCCTGCTGCTGCTGCTGCCGCAGAAGACCCACTCCAGTCCCGTCCACGCAGGCAGAGGAGGTTCACAGAGGCATCCTGGACAGGTTGTACCAGCCGCCCCCGCCGGCCGACAACACCTCGCAGGACACGGCCTTGCCTGGGACGGCAGGCGTATCGCCCAACAGCATGGCTTCCAGGCAGGTGCATATGGGGCTGGGGAGGGGGAGCCGGAAAGCAAGGACTGGGGCAGCTCTGTCTTGTGGCACATGTGGGGCCCAGGAGTTGAGGAAGGAGCACCCCTTGCTTGAAGTGAGGTTGGATGGCCTCTTTAGATCCCTTCCAGCAGTGGCCTTGCACAGAACACCAAACCTGAGCAGTTTGAGGCTGAGTTAATGTTCTTAGTGGCTCTGCTGGTGCAGTTAGTTTGCTTCTGGTGTAGCATGTTGTGGGAATGTCTGTTTCAATCATCTGAATCATGGCTGTCCCAAAAGCACTTTTCCAAAAGACAACTGGACTTTCTTGTTTTTTCCCTTGAAACCGTTTCACTTCTCATTGAGTCTGTCATCTGCACCTCTGTAACTGTCTGGTTCAGTTCTGCAACCCAACAGGACAGACACAGACTCCAGAGGATAATTAGGACTGCAGAAAAAACAATTACAATCAACCTGCCTTCAATCAAGGACCTGTGTATCCTGCACCAGTCAAAAAGAGGGCTGGGAAAATATTTACAGACCCCTCACATCCCGGACATAAACTGTTCAACTCCTTCCCTCAAAATGACGTTATAGAGCACTGCACACCAGAACAACTAGACACAAGGACAGTTTTTTCCCCAAACGCCATCCCTCTGCTAAAGAAATAATTCCCTCCACACTGTCCAACTATTTACAAAGTCTGCACTACTATCACTATTAATCTTCTCATCACTCCTTATCACCCATCCCCTCCCACTTGTGACTGCATGACTGTAACTTTGTCGCTTGTATCCTAACAATTTATATTGACTGTTTCCTAGTATGATTTGATGGCTTATTGTGCCCTATGACTATTATTAAGTGTTGTACCTGATGATTCTTGATGAATGTATCTTTTCTTTTATGTACACCGAGAGCATTTGCACCAAGACAAATTCCTTGTGGGTCCAATCACACTTGGCCAATAAAAAGAATTCTATTCTATTCTATTCTCATCCAAGAAGCTTGGCTGAGAAATGAACTGAAGAAGCTTCTTGGATGAGAATTGAAATGTTTTCAAGGGAAAAAAACAAGAAAGTCCAGTTGTCTTTTGGAAAAGTGCTTTTGGGAGAGATGTTTTGTGTGAACTGGGAAATAAGGTGAATTCAGTCAAATTTGGCTCTTGGGTGACTGAAGACCCTTGTTGGAAGAGGCTGTGTAATCCCTTTGATGCTTCCACAGCGGCTGCGATGGGGGAGAGGTTTTCAGTGCTGCCAGCACTGGCTACAACTCTCGAAGCGCCAGTGAGGAGCAAATTCCAGCTGTGGATCTTCCGGACAACGCAGGACTCCTTCCCAGCAACTCCCAGGAGCTGCTGACTTGTGCCAAGAGTCGCCCCCGCACTGCCAGCGAATTGCTACTGAGCAGGTACTGCCTTGGGCACGCAAGGACTCCCCGCTTATCTTGGCTTCTGAGGGTCACGTGTGCCAAGACAAATGCTCTTAACATCACCCAGTTAAAGATGCACAACTTCAAAAGTTGACGTGGAGGCCCCAGTTTAGCTGGCTGGGGAATTCTGGGAGTTGAAGTTCACAAGTCTTAAAGTGGCCAAGGTCGCAGACCCCTGCTCCAGAAGGAATTCCAGAACTGTTATTCCATCAAAGGATGATGCAGTTGTGGATCCCTGGGACATCTTTGATAGACAAAGGAGAATGAGTACAAAAACAGTCTTTCTGCCATCCAACATGTTGGGACTTCAACTCCCAGAATTCCCAGGCAGAGTGGAGCATTGTGGGAGTTGTAGGCTCAGTATAATGCATGCAGAAGCTTAGTGAAATGTGGGGGGTTGGGTGTGGGTGTGGTGATTCCAACTTGGAGGGACTTTGCTCCCCATCATAGCTTTCCCACCCTCTGTCTGTCCCTTCCGTCTTCCAGATGTGTCTCTTTCGAAGAGCTGGAGGAATCTGAGCAGTTCTACCACTCCCAAAACCGCTTTGTGCAGCTGCTGGTGGCCTGTTACCACTTTGTGGCTGGGCACTCGGACCTGCTGTGCTACTTCGTCATCATCCTCAACAACATGGTCACAGCCTCGGTCATCTCGATCGTCCTGCCCATCCTCATCTTCCTGTGGGCCATGCTCTCCCTCCCACGGCCCAGAAAGTCCTTCTGGATGACGGCCATCGTCTACACGGAGGTGGGGCCCTTCTTCAGCGGGGGGTGGAGGACGTTTTGAAGCTAATTTTGATGTGGGGGGAAAACTGACAGTGAATGGACTTCATCTCCCAGAATTCTCAGCAATGGCTATGCGGGGATGTGGATTTCTGGGAATTGAAGTCCTTTTACTTGGAAATGGCCACTGTTGGGAAATCTTGAGCAGATTTTCTCTCACTGGGTCCCTGCCTGGTGCATTGGACGGCCTCCATTCCCCCACCAGCAAGAACTGGAGCCCATCATGGCACAGCGGAGGGGCCCAGCTTGAGAGGTTTAGGGTTTTCCATGGAGTCAGGGAAGAAGAAAGCATAGCTGCCCCAGAAGAGGAAGAAGACAGCTCTACGTTCAGTAGGAACCTCCTTTGCGGTTTTCTCTAGCCTGGAAGGGCCTGTCGAGGAGAGACCAATGTTGGGCCACAAGGGCTGGAGATGATGGCTGAGATGCTGCCCAGGCTCTCATGGTGGAGAGTTGAGCCTGCATATTCAGAGGCAACCTATCTGTTGGCTTTCAGATAAGGAGGAAAGAGGTTGCCTTCCATCCTTCCTTGTGAGGAGACCCTCCTGGTAGAAAACAAAATGCCAGAGAACCTTCCTCTTGCTTTAGGTCAGGGGCCTCCAACCTGGGCAGCGTTAAGTCTGGCTGAGGAACTCTGGGAGTTGAGGTCCACAAGTCTTAAAGCGGCCACGATTGGAGACCCCTGTTCTTGGGGAACCTTGGAAAATGTGCTTTTTTGGTGTCTGCTCCTATCTTGGGGAACAATCCACCCCCCATGAGATTTGGCAGCCCCCCACCCGTTTAGCTTTTCAGAAGGTATTAAGACCTGGCTTTTAACCCTGGTGCCGAGTAGGATGGCACAGATCCGTGTTTCTCAACCTCAGCCCCTTTAAGATGCGTGGACTTCAACTCCCAGAATTCCCCAGCCAGGCAATGCTTTCCCCAGCTATGCTGGCCGAGGAATCCTGGGAGTTGAAGTCCACAAGTCTTAACGTGGCCAAGGTGGGAGACCCCTGCTCTAGAGTTCTTCTCCCCTGGACTCCTATGCCTCTCTTTCTTGCCAGGTTATGGTGGTGCTCAAGTACCTTTTCCAGTTTGGCTTCTTCCCCTGGAACAGCTACACCACCATGGTGCGCTATGAGGGGAAGCCTTTCTTTGCGCCTCGCATCCTGGGCATTGAGAAGACCGACAACTACATCAAATATGACCTGATCCAGCTCTTGGTGCTCTTCTTCCACCGCTCCCTGCTGCTGGTAAGAAGGAACCGGGGCTCGAATTCCCACCAGGGCTGGGAGAGCAACCTTGGAGGAGGCCCAGGGAGATCCGGCAAAGAACCCGAGATTTGGGGAGTTGCTAGGAATCACAGCCAGAGACGGAGCTGGGGCAGCTTCTCCCATGCTTCCCTGTGTCTGCTTGGCCCCTTTCTGAACGAGTTGTCATCTCCAGAGCTACGGCCTGTGGGATCACGAAGAAGAGCTGCTGGCCAAACCTCAGCTGGAGTCAGAAGAATCGCCAGAGGCGGCCAAAGGAAAGGAAGAGCCGGAGCCTTTGGCATCGGCCAGCCCCGAGGAAGAGATCGTGGTGTTGGAGGAGAAGACGGAGCCGGAGGTGAAGAAGGGGATTCGTTCACGGTTCAGAAAGAAAAAGGAGGAGAAGAAGAAGAAGCAACTGAGCAAATCTCCAGAGGAGCAAGGGGAGGCAGGTACCTAATGGCCGCTGCAGGAGGAGCTGAAAAGAGGGAGGGAGGGCCACTGAGTTTATTTACTTAATTCAATAGTTGTATCAATTACATTGATTTATATCAGGGGTCTCCAACCTTGGCAACTTTAAGACTTGTGGATTTCAGCTCCCAGAGTTTTGCTGATTTCTGGTAGTTGAAGTCCACAAGTCTTAAAGTTGCCAAGGTTGGAGATCCCTGATTTTTATGGCCCTCTGGGTCCCGTTAGAGGCCACATATTAACTGAGAGGACCCTCACCCTGGTAGACCCAAAGAGTGTTCCCTTGGCTGGATCTTCTGGCTGGGAGGGGTGAGGGGGATGAAGGACTGTGTTGTAGAGGCTCCCTGGCTGAAGCACATCAGTGGGAGAAGGCAGAGATTGGCCAAGAGTTCATCCCACTCTTCTCTTTCCAAGCCTCAGAGGTCCAGGAGCAGAAAGGAGAGGAGAAGGTGGTGGAGGAAGAGGAGGAGGAGAAGAAGAAGTCAGGGGCATCCCGAGAAAAGCTGAAAGCTGCCAAACGCCAAGTGAAGCGCTTCTTTGATTCTGCGTAAGTGATGGGAAGTGGTGGGAAGGTTGGCGACCATCTTCGTGTGAATTCTCCTCAACCAAGAAACACTGGCTGTCATGTCTGGGGTCTTCCTCCCCTGGGTTAGGCTCTGGCACGTTCATACGTTGTGTTCAGCCATTGTTATCGCTATTAGATAGAGCAGAGAGGGAAACCAATTCCACAGCAGAAGCTAAGTGTCAGGATTCCGGCAGTTGCCCCCATTTAAATCATGATGTGGAGCCAAACTTCCAAAACTTAAAAATGATTTGGTGGGAGTTAAACTGTCCGGGACTGCCTGGGTGTATCATCATTTATATTCTCCACTGGGACACCTCCATAGCCCAGAGTCATCAATCATGCTCTCCAGTTAGAATTTTGCATGGCAGAAACTTCAGTCACCTAGTTACTATCTTTGAAAACATTTGTGGAATGCACCTGCCAAGTTTGCAAGCTGCCACACTGCTCCCCGCTCCCTTTCTGTTGGCAACTCTAAAAAGGCCCTAGAAATATTTTATGAGTTGACACTACTTGGATGGAGATGGGCTCTTAGCAGAACCTTGCAATTGGATTGTGTCGGCTGACTTCAGGGAATTGGGAAAGTGTCTACTCAGCCTCTTCCCAATGATTACCCCATCGTCAACCCCTTTTCCCTAGGCCCCCTTCCTGCATGTCTCCGTCAAGGTCCCCTTCCTGCTTCTCTACACTCACTGTGTTTATGGCTCAGCACAGTGTGGAGCCTGTGTGTAAACCCACCTTCCCTTTCCTACTAGGCTGTGACTCTGGCTGGGCCGTAGTGAGATCCTACCTGTGCCACTACCGGTTTGGTGGGTGATCAATTGTGTGCACGCATGCCCCTAACACACACACACACACAAACACGGACCTAACGCACCAATCAGCCGAGAGGATGAAGAAACGAAAAGCTAGGAGTGACCGTCTTCCACCCACCCCTGCACTTTTTTTTTAATCCTCTCAGATAATCATGAGAGGCTGTTGTTGTTTTTTACTACCGGTTTGTCTGAACCAGTCCGAACCGGTAGCCTGCCACCACTGGGCTGGGCCCTTCCTTGCACCCTGCAGAGGTGACTTGGTTCACCCTTCTTCACCCGACCTCACTCCACCCTCTTCGCCCTTCTTCCTCCAGAAGAGAGCGCACCTTCCAGCCAGCCTGCCGGTTCTTCCAGGACATCCTGCACAGCCAGTACCGCGCTGCCACGGATGTCTACGCCCTCATGTTCCTGGCTGATGTGGTGGACTTCATCATCATCATCTTCGGCTTCTGGGCCTTTGGAGTAAGTCCGGTGGTGCCACTCGGGATTTGCTGCTTTCCTCAAGCCGTTGTTGCCAGTGATTTTGCTGGGGTGGTACTCCCCAGATGTCTTAGTCGACTGCTGGGAATTCTGGGACTTGTAGTCACTGAGCATCTAGTAGGCGCTTTTGGGACTATTCCAGCAGAGCTTTGGGAAACGGGATTGTCCAGGACCGAACTCTGCCAGCTGAGGAGGGACAGAAAGAAGGAGAGGAAGGATCGGGGGTCCCCAGTGGGCTTATCTGCTGCCTGGAGACCACCCTCCCTTTTGCTCTGGCTGAGCTTGGGGTAAATTAGAGCGACAAGGTCCAAGCGTCCCTGAAATTCAGCACAAGTTCACCACCAACCCCCCTGCAAAAGGGGGAGGACGGTGCTATGCCAGGGACAGTTAGCTTGGGGGTCCCTGGAGAGGAGTAGGTGGTCTCCTAGGGAAATTGGGGGGGAGGAGGTGGATCACTGGGTTTGCCCTCCTCCCTGAGCTTCTCTTCCCCTGCAGAAACACTCGGCTGCAGCCGACATCACGTCCTCCCTCTCTGAAGACCAGGTGCCCCAGGCCTTCCTGGTGATGCTTCTGATTCAGTTCTCCACCATGGTGGTTGACCGGGCCCTCTACCTGCGCAAGAGCATCCTGGGCAAACTCATCTTCCAGGTCATCTTGGTCTTTGGCATTCACATCTGGATGTTCTTCATTCTACCTGCTGTCACAGAGAGGTGCGTGGCTGTCTCTCCGCTTCCCCCGTCCTGACCTGGGCCTCCTCCTTTAAGAGGGGTGGAAGCCACTCTTCATCCTTGGTCTCCCTTCCCAGGAAGTTCAGCCAGAATGCGGTGGCCCAGCTGTGGTACTTTGTGAAGTGCATCTACTTCGGCCTCTCCGCCTACCAGATTCGCTGTGGCTACCCCACCCGCATCTTGGGGAATTTCCTCACCAAGAAATACAACTACCTGAACCTCTTCCTTTTCCAAGGGTAACAACAAAACAGGGGAGAAGGAGAGCCTGGTATGGGGTCCCTTAAATAGAGGCAGGACCCTTTGGGGGGAAACTTTGCAGCAAGGTAGACCTTTCTTTGGGGGAGGGGGCAGGTGAGAACATTGTGTGTCTCCATGGGTCTCTACATCTGGTACCCCATTTCTTTACCATGCATCGTGGTGAGCACCATGCACCATTGATGGTCAGGAGAAAGTGGGGACAATTGTCCAGGGTCAACCAGAATCTCCCCCTGGAAGACCTGAAGATACATCTCTTGGCTCCACAGGTTTCGCCTGGTGCCTTTCTTGGTGGAGCTGCGCGCTGTCATGGACTGGGTCTGGACGGACACCACCCTGTCCCTCTCCAACTGGATGTGTGTGGAAGATATCTATGCCAACATCTTCATCATCAAGTGCAGCCGTGAGACGGAGAAGGTGGGCCTCCATGGAAGGGGAGGGCACAGGGTGGAGCTGGGCCTGCGAGAGGCTTCTGGCTGTGAGGGTTCAATTGCTGTAGTCCTAGCGAGCATGATGGGCCTTCAGTAGGATAACAGGAGGCTTTATGGAGAAGACCTGGGGTGCCCTGAGCTGACCGTTAGCGCCCCTCTCCCCCTGCAGAAGTACCCACAACCCAAGGGTCAGAAGAAGAAGAAGATCGTCAAATATGGCATGGGAGGCCTCATCATCCTCTTCCTCATCTGCATCATCTGGTTCCCGCTGCTCTTCATGTCCCTCGTGCGCTCCGTGGTGGGTGTGGTCAACCACCCCATCGATGTCACTGTGACCCTCAAATTGGGGGGCTATGAGGTAAGAGGAACTGCCTTGTGGAGAAGCAAAACTGCAGGCCACCCAGTTCCCAGAGGCTGATGGACCACAACTCCCAGCACCCCTCTCGGCTGGACGTTGTAGCCTGGCAACGGCCCATGTTGGCTTTCAGAGACCCATGGGCTGAGCTCTTGTAGCAGTTGCAGCGCTTGGCATTGGGCAGGTTGAATCACCCCCAGCTCCTCTGCATCGTGGGGGCGTCTCCCTGTCGACGGTCCCCCACCCCCGTGGCAGCTACGAGAGCCATGCTGTTGAAGCGGAGTGTGTGCAGGGTGGCTCAGGATTGACGGTGTCCCTAAAACTGGATCCCCTTCTTTCTTCTTCAGCCCCTCTTCACCATGAGCGCCCAGCAGCAGTCCATCCAGCCTTTCACCCCGCAGGACTACGAACAGTTGACCAATAAGTTTGAGCGGCAGCCGGTGAGTCCTAGCCGGACCTACGGCAGGAGGGAGGGGGAATCCTTCAAGTGGGTGGGGGACCGGCACCTCTGCCCCACCCCTGAAAATAGAAGGTGGGCTGGGCCTGAGCAGGGAGGGGGGGCTACCACGCTGTGCCCTGCTGACCCGGCCTGGGACTCTCTGCCCTCCCCGCAGCTCGCCATGCAGTTCATCACCCAGTACGGCTACGAGGACGTTGCCTGGGCGCGCATTGAGGGCAGCTCCGGATCCCTGTGGAGCATCAGCCCGCCCAGCCGTGAGCAGCTCTGGCAGGAGCTGCACAATGGCTCCTCGGACATCACTCTGCGCTTCACCTGGAACTTCCAAAGGTACTTCAGGCCAGGACCGGAAGTCCCCCCTTGCAGGGCGGGGCCCTGGCTGCTTTAACCAAGGATATGCCCCCTTTGGCTTGGCCTGGAACAGCCCCGCGGAGCTCCGAAGACGCCTTCTTCCGGCATTTGAAGGCTTAGGACAGGAATCTCCAACCTTGGCAGCTTTAACGCTGGTGGACTTCAACTCCCAGAATTCCTCATCCACCCAATGCTGCTAAGGAATCCTGAGCGTTAAAGTCCACAAGCCTTAAAGCTGCCGAGGTTGGAGATCCTGGCTTAGGGGGCTGTGGGTGCAAAAGAGCTCCAGGGATGGAGAGGGTCACGAAGGGACCCGAAAGCAGAGGGTGGATCCTCCTCTTGCCTTTCCTTCCACTTCTCCTTGATCCCAAAAGTCCTTTCCTTCCTCCTCCTCCTCCTCCGCAACCGCCAGGGATCTCAGCAAAGGAGGGAAAACGGAGTACACCTCCCAGAAGCACACCATGGACCTGAGCCAGAAGAGTCTCGTGAGACAAAATTTGGCTGGGATGCTGCAGGGCACCCATCGTGCCCCCGTGTGAGTGTCGTCCCCCCTGCCCCTCCCATCAAGGCACCCATGGCCAGGGGGTGAGCAAGGTGGGGAAAGGGCCCCCCCAATTGCAGGGGTCTCAATTCACAGCCTGCAAAGCCCGAGGAACAGAGGGGCTCCACCCGTCTGCAAACGCTCCCTGTGCTTTCAGGCTGCGTTATCTCACCGTGTCTTCTCCTTGTTCCAGGCGGATAGCCCACCTCTTCCCACCCTACATACGGGCGCCCAGCGGCCCCGAGGCAGACCCGGTTGAGCCCCTGCTCCCAGGTGAGGACACCGGACAGAAACTGCTTTGCACAGACTCAGGGCTGATCGTTTAACTCCCCAGTTCCTCCCTCGGCGTTGATGGGGGTTCCTGGTGCTAGTTGGAAAACAATCCAGGGGCCAGAACTTGTCCCCTCCACCCCCCAGCAGATAATGCCAGCATGCCTTCACAAGAACAGCCGGGACATGGTTGCATTTCTGGCTTTTTCAGGTGGGAGCAGGAACAGGAGGCCAATGGCTCCGTTTCCCTGTCCCTAAAAAGGCCACAATCATGCCATGGCTTGGCAGGGTGGTTTCCCAAGTAAAGAGAGCAGCGTGCCTTCCGTATCTGCTTTCCTGCTTGCTTTTGAGACAGAGCTCCAAAATGAGTGTTGTGCAAAGGAATTTTGTTCCTGATTTTTGGTGGCACATAGTTTGAAGCCACAGTAAGAACGGCAGAAGATATTAAAAAGGTCAAATGAACAGACAAATCTTCGATGCCACTCCGAAACTTCATTGCCCAGAAGATCATTGGCCGCCCTCTCCCCTCTTTGGAAGAGCTTTAGAGTTCCTGCTGCCCTAAGAAAGTTCAAAATATCCTTAAAGATCCATCTCATCCTGGGAAACCCCCCCCCCTTTTTTTTTGAACTATTACCATCTGGCAGACGGTACAAGACAATACAAAAAACAAGGACAACTAGGCTGAAAAACAGCTTCTATCCCGGGGCGGTAACTCTGTTGAATTCTACTGTATAGTGCAGTGTTAATGCAGTACCAGGTGGTTTCAATTCAATTGCATAGAATGTGAAGGATGTGTGTTTGCATTTATTTTCATAGCCATAATGTACACTGAAGATGGCATTTAATTTTGTTGTACGAGGTGAAGTGACAACAAACTAAACTAAACAGAGCAATTGGGGCTGGGAGGACTCTAAAGAAATGGGGAGCAACTCGTGAGGAAGAGCTTTCTCAGCGTCTCTGTGTATATAAGCGAGGTGGCGTCCTTTTCTGGGCCTGCTTCCCTCTCCCCCTCTCCTCTTCCAGACGGAGAAGACAGCTACCTGGACGTGGAAGTGCAGCTGGAGCAGCAGCGGGTCAGGCCCGGGAACAGCAGCACCAGTTTCCTGGAGTGGTGGATGATCCAGCTGGCGGAGTGCCAGGCGGAGTGCCACATCCTGCCCATGGTCATCTTCAGCGACAAAGTCAGCCCTCCCAGCCTGGGCTTCCTGGCAGGATACGGGTGAGTGACCAACCCACCAGCCCCAGACCATCAGGGCGGATGCAAGAGTCACAAGAATAGGCTGGCTTGGATGCAAGGAAGCAGCCGGAAAGCTGGGCCTAAGAACCCCAGGGAAAGAGCAACCCCCCCCCCCCTTGAATGGGGGGGGGCCCTGGGCTCACCTGACTCTGCTGCAGCTGGCCCACTTGGTTTCCTCACCTGGCAGCACTTGGAAGAGGGTCCAACGCGGCCCCTTTGTGTGTGAAATGCCACCAGGCTTCCTTTGCCCGCAGCTTGCAAACATTGAACCCCCCTAAAAGGAGGGGGGATGGTCCCCAATCTCCCTCCCACCTCACAGGGCCACCTTGCCCTCAAGCTTTTCTAAGGTTAAGGCGCCTCCTTTCCTGGAATGATAAGGCCCTCCAGGCGCAGGCGAGAGAGGCAAAGGTTGGTCGTTCGGTCCCTTTTCAAGACTTCCTCTGGATCAGCTAACGGCTGAGATCACACCCCAGGCTGAGCCACGGGATCAGGGCTTGCAGATCCCCGCGGATCCTGCTCAGCCAGCCCGCTGATGCTTCGTAGGTCGTGTGGATGTGTTGGGGAGTCAGAAGGTGGGGGGGGGGGGGGGGCAGGGGGGGGGGGGGGGGGGTGGCATGTCGGGGTGGGGGGCTGCGCAGGGGCGCTACACAGGGGATCTTTCTCTGCTCAGGATCATGGGTCTCTACGTCTCCATCGTGCTGGTGATCGGCAAGTTCGTGCGAGGCTTCTTCAGCGAGATCTCCCACTCCATCATGTTTGAGGAGCTGCCCTGCGTGGACCGCATCCTGACGCTGTGCAGCCACATCTTCCTGGTCCGGGAGACGGGAGAGCTGGAGCTGGAGGAGGAGCTGTACGCCAAGCTCATCTTCCTCTACCGCTCGCCGGAGACCATGATCAAGTGGACCCGGGAGAAGGACTGAGCAGGGGAGGCCAGAACGGAAGGGAGCTCTCTTCGCCCCCAAAACAGCCCAGGGGGGAGGAGGTGCAGCCAGGCTGTGGACCCAGCCAGCTGCCGGTCCTGGACGCCGAGTCTTCCTACCCCCCCCCCCCCCCCCTCCCCCCCCGGACGCTCCGGGCGGGGCGGCCCCCCCCCCGTAACCGGGGCCACACCTGCAGCCCAATGCAGCGGGGGGGGGGAGAGGGGGGAGACACAGGACACTTTTTGAAACACTTTCCCCTTTTTTACAAAATCAAACGACACTACCGGCTCCCCCTCCTGGGCTCCTGCTTCCTTCCCCCTTGGCGACCAGGAGGCGTTTGGAAACGGCTGTCCTGCTGCCAAAATGTCCAGAGCCCCCCCCCCACCTCTGCAGCCTCTGACCCTCCCTCCCTCTCTCCTCCCCTCTTGGCCAGCCTCTCGCTGCTGGGAATCTACAGACTATTTTTTCTATGGGAGGCCATTTTATTTATACAGATCTATACAATAAAAACAAAGCTGTGATTTTAAAAACGGTGTGGTGGGAAGTCAAGGTGGACTTTGGGGAATGTCGGAGGAAAATTCCGCTGGTTCAGCAGCCGAGCTTTGGGGGCTCAGTTTATCCAGAGGTCTGGAGCAGATTTGGAGGAGAGCTTAAATGAAATTTTAGGAGGTCTGGATAGGGCGGGGGGGTGGGGGTTATTGCCAAGAAGGAACCGGTTTTCCTTGGGACACTTCATCAAACTTCCGTGAGCAAAGGCTGCTCCCTTTGTTTTAGGATTTGAATCCTGTGTACAAAAATAGATTCACTTCTATTCCGATTCACTTGTGCCTCCAAGGAGGTGCCAAACTGGGCACGTGTGAAAGATCTGGATCCTTCTTGGCTCAGTCCGGCCGTTGCTGAATCCAAAATGATTTGTCTGCTTGAAAAACACTTGTGGAAGTAGATTGTCAGGCCACTAAGAGCCACGAACAGTCCTCCCCCTGGACTCTTTTAGGCCGTAAAGCACCCAATGCAAATCAAGTGTCATCTTCAAGCAAGAATTCCTGGATTTCTTGCTTCATCGCAGCCCTGCAAAGAAAGTGGAAACAGGCATCACTGCAAATCCGGCTTTGCCTATCACGCTAGATTAGGGTTTGTTCAAATAGCATGCCAGCTGGGGAATTCTGGGAGTTGAAATCTTAAAAAGTTGCCCTAGTTGAAATGCACTGGTCAATTGGATGACTCTCTGTTCCACGCCCAGGAACAAGGGCATTCTTAAAGGACTTCTCCTTTTGTCTTGGCCTCAACAGCTGCAGGAGTGCAAGCAGTGCCCCCTTCGTTGCAATTCTGTCTCCCCTCGCACTGTTTTGCCAACTGCGTCCTTGCCACTGACGTCTGGGCCACAACAGGGGAGGGCAGATGGAGCTCAGGTTGAATTGGTGGGGTCTTGGGGGTCTCTGAGCTTGCTTTTCTTCTTGCCTCCATTTTGTTACTAGGCTGGGAAACAACATCAATGCACCGATAAACAAAACTGCCACAAATGCCCAACAGCCTCTTTGGGCTGTATTTCTGCCCTGGAGAAGAGCAACACAGTCTCATTTCTCTTGGCACAAATTCCTCCAGGCAACAATTTTGCCCCATACCTGCATCGCTGGCGCTCGGCCTCCTTGTGAATGTATGGGGGGAGAGACTCCACGCAGCTCTGCAAAGGAATCGCTGGGAGTGAGTAAAGGCATGGTGATTCCACCATGCTTGTTACTTTTACAAGGGGTAGCCCCTCAAACTGTGGCAGAGCACCCCAACTGTCACCCACAGCCTAACCTGAAGTTCCTCCAAAGCCAGGACAAACTCACAGAGATTCTCCAAAATCCCAGCAAACTAAACCTTTCATCCAATGTGAAGGCCCAACTGACTGCACCCACTTTAACTCCAGCCAGAGAGCTTTTGTCATCAGCCTGGCCACTTCTGTCTCGGGCCCAGCCCTGAGAGCAGTTGCACACCTTTGCGTCGACACCTATGTGAGCCCTGGCTGCACAAACCCCTCCTTGCACACCTACCAGCTCCTTGACTGTTAGGCGGCAGCCATAGCAGAGCAACGGGGCAAGCTGGGAGGTCTCTCTGGGGGGGAAAGCAGAACATCAGTCACCTGTGCCGACTAGTGGCTTATTTGGGGAGGGGGCTAAGGTGAGCAGGCGGGGTGATCCACACCCAACAGTACATTCTTTGTGGGGGCTCTTACCTTCCTGCTGGGGGCTCTCTGCAGCAACCTGCCTGGGTCCCGCCACCGCAGCATCCCTCCGCAGCTGGAGGCCGCTGGCTGAGCTTTTCCGAAAGCAGCGTGGCCTGCAAGGAGGATCCGTCCTCTGTCGGGAAACGAGAATTGCAGCCCCTGAAAGCTCGTCCTTGGGCCAAGAGGCAAAAAAAACAACCCTTGGCAGCAGAAGCCGGGTTCGTAATGCCCTGCCGTGAGCGAATCTCGCAGCACCCAGAGCTCAAGGACCGAGTACGTCCCCTGGGTGTGCAGGCATCTTCATCGGTCAGTTCCAGCAAGCAAACCCCCCTTGCTTAAGCAGAAGGTTTGCATTTATCCCCATGCCCGTTTGGCAAAGGATGGGAGGGAAAGACCCTCCCATTCCAACTCCAAAAAGGACCACCTGCAATTCTGGCACCGTGAAGGTCTGGCTGGCACCTCAGCCCTTGTCCATTCTAGAATCCCAGCAGGTACCAAAAGCTAATCTAGAAGCGGGCCCCCCCCCCCCCCCAAAGAAGACCACTCACCAACATTAGTGTCCAAGGGGCAGAGGCAGAGGAGGCAGCTGGCTGGTGCTGCCGGCACATCAGGCTGGGCCTCCGAAGGAACTGCGCTCAGCTTCTCTCCTGTCCTAGAACAGAGGCCGGAGGGGGCATCAGGAGGAGAACTGGAGGGAAGCCCACCTCCTGCCTGACCTGGTCATGCTACCTGCACCTCCTCAAGAGGACATAAAGTCTCTCTGGGATGAGGCACCGCTTGTTTTAAGGAGGCGCTTGCAAGTCCGCAGCTGAAAGGATCTGGCCCATGAAACGCAGGCGGAGAGGCCTGAGCTGGATTTTCAGAAAACAAGGTTGTTTTTTTTTAAAAAAAAAACTGTTTCCTAGTTTGCTCTGATTTGCCTTGAGAGGCCCAGAAATGTAACCAGAGCTGCAGAGGGTCCATGAGGGGTGTGTGGGAAGGGAGTCACGCCTAATGGACAACACTGCGGAACATCTGCCAGGGACTCCGTCCAGCGGTTGGTTGTCCTTTACTGGACAAGGGACACTCACCGGTAGACTGTGCTGACGGTGGAGGGAAATTCCAGCTGCAGCTTGCAGAGAAAGCTCTCTATCAGGAGGTGGATGCTGGCTCTGTCGGAGGCCTGGGGGAAGTGAAATCATCGGTCACGGCTGCTCAGATCCGCCTCACCCCTTCCCCTCTGTCTCCAGCCAGAAGTCTCCGTTCCCAATGGCCTACTTTGGTGTCCAGTCCAGGCGTGAAGACGGTGGGCACCCCGAAGAGGTAGTTGTAGAAAGCAATCTCTTTAGCGGGATATTCCCGCATTGGGCGCAGGATGAGGACATCCCCGTAGCGGCTGTCCAAGAAGCCCTTTGGGGGAGGAGAAAGGAAAAGGGAGGGGGAGCAGTGCCAGATCAGTGCCAGGCCACCGGCACCCTTGCACCCCAACCTCTCCGGGAGATTCCGGAACAGAGATGGAGCAGGGAGAGCTCCAACTGGGTCATCCGGCCACAGCACGGAAGCCTCGGTCACAAAGGCTTCCTTGCTCCTCTTCTACGGTGTTATTCTGTGTGTTTGTCTGGAAAAATACTCCTCGGTGGGCTCCTCCTGGGCGAAAAATGGAGTCTCAGCCACTGGACTCTGTGCAGGTTTAGCCCAGGACTTTCCTTCTTCAAGGGCCAGGTTTGGCTTCATAAAGCTCCGGGAAGTGGCTTGCAAGGATGGACATATCTAAACCGAAGAGCAAGGCAAGGAATCTCCTAAGGAGCCCAAAACGTCGGTGGGGAAACCGCGAGCCGCTTTGCTCTCACCGTGTCCATAGCCAGGAAGGCCCCACGTCCCAGGGAGAGGTTGCTCAGCAGCTTGACGCTCACACGGGTGCAGCTGTCTCCCACCATCACCTTCGTGTATCCGTTTCTCCGAGCCACATGCAGCACCAGGTGGGTCCTAAAAAGCAGAGAGATCTCTCCCGTTCCAGCCAGGAATTTGGGATCCAACCAGGAGCCCAGAGAACAATGGAACATTTGCTGTTTTCCTAGAAATACCACAGAATCAGCCATCTAGAAGGGCCAGACAAAACAGCCTTTTGACACCACGAAACCCTTTCTAAGTCTAGCTAGGGGCTCCTTGCAAAGTCCTCCTCCTATCAGGACTGTCAGCCTGTTTCCTGGGGCTCCTGAGCTAGGATACGGCATCCAATGACCCTTTGCGCTAAGAGAACAGGAATGCATGAAGAAGACCCCTGCCTAGTCTCTTTTGAGTTCTCCACTCTCCCTCACCCAGCTCACATTGTGGGCATTAACATCCTCACTCAGGATCGGAGCCAGGAGCTTACCGGAGGGTCTGCAGAAGCTCCTCTTTTGCAGTTAGGGATTTGACACCCGCAAAGAGGCGGGACAGATCTTGTGCGTGGGAAGCAAGGGAAGAGCCAGCCTCATCCAGAGCCGCCAACCGTCCCGGCCACCCGCAGCCTTCCATGCTACACTCTGCCAGCCGGTCCTCCAGGGAAGTCGCCGCGTCCTCCTCCTCCTCCTCCCGCTGCTGCTGCTGCTGCCACCTCAGGAAATCAGCCACTGCTTCCTTGTAGCTGGGTGCCTGGCCAGCAGCACTGTGGGAAAGGGAGTTCAGGACAGAAGTGGGAAGGTCAAACGCCTACGAAAGAGCATGGGGACAGAAGCTGGATCAAACACTGACTGAAGGAACGTGCGCCAAGCCTGCACAAACTCCAATTGCTTTGACAGATTTTCAGAACTAGGAATTATATTTCCTTCCCGCCTTGTTAAGCTTAATGCTACTTTTCCCTTATTCGTTTCCTCCTAAAAGTGACGATGTTAGAAGCTCATCTATGTTATCAACTTCCCCTTTCACAGTAAGTTTTCTCTGATCCTCTGTTGTTTCACTTCCATTACGCAAAAGTGGGCAGACTAATCTGGGCCAGAGTTAATTCTCAGAGCACAAAGGATTATACTTGATGGAAGAATGATAATCCTATCCTGCCTGCGGGCAGGATGCCTTTCTGATGTTCTAATTCAGTGTTTCTCAATCTCAGAAACTTCAGGGTATGTGGAGTTCAACTCTCAGAACTCCCCAGCCAGCCCCAAAATTGCTGAGGATGTGAAACTCTGCTCTAATTTAATTTGCTAAACAATACTACCGTCAATAATACAATTTCCTTCCAGGCAAATCCCATCAAAGCAGCCAG